GCTGGATGGAAAGAGAGCTTATCTTATCGTACTGTGACTATCATGTCTTTGCTGTGGACAGCTCCAGTCGGTTCAAAGGAAGGAGTGCTTGGCTTAAGTGCCTGGCTTTGTTTCTACTTCTTAACAGCGGCATTGCTCGCACAAATACTTTGATTACGATACTGAAACACATTTCTAATTCTATGTGCGAATAACATGCTTTATTTGAAGTGTAGCAGCTGTGGAGAAACTGGTGTATTTGCTGAAAGTCAGAATAGGATAACTAGGTTAAAGTGGTAAACCACTCATGCAACTTAGAATTGTGCCCATTTCACCCAAATATGGAATTTCAGTAGAAAGTAAATGGACAATGTTGTTCTCAAAGATAAAACACTAAGATCAGCGAGTCTCATACAAGTAGTGACTTACTTTATTAACACTTTTTAAAAAGAATTTAAGACACTACATACAAATGTGTGACATTACTGTCTACTCTATCTGTTATGACAGGGGCTAATGTTCACTGCTGAGGGGGTGGGTGTCTGTGGGTTAACTAATGCAGGAAGTGGGAACAGCTGTATAAAAGTTAGGTGGTAGTTTGTGGTTTTAACAAATAACTGTGACATGTCTGACAAGCATGAGCTTAATATGATAACAAGGATTCAAGTTGACAGAAAATTATTCCAAAAAGTTTGTAGTTTGTTTTGAAGTTTTTTTTATCAATCGATGAAAATCTACAGTAACAGTATGTTGAGCAGCTGTTATCTTACTGTAAATATAGAGTTTCTGCTGCTGCCAACTTCCAACAGATATGGAAGTTTTCTGTTTTCATCTAAAGCTTTAGGTTTACAAGTGAAGTTGACTAGGCTGCCATGATCCTCTTAAACTGTGAACAGGGAGGGCAAGTGTTGAAGTGCTTTGGGGTAGAATTCTATGGTCAAGTGTCATGACGGATGAAAATGGAGTAACTGCAAACACAGGATTCCGCTCAGGCAAAGCTACAAAACAATGAATTAAAAGCTCTTATTAGTATATTGCATTGTTTTTGAAAAGGCCAATGGAACCCAAAAAGCGTATAACTGATCTTTAGTGTTAACTCATTAATCTTTTGTAAAGTATGCCTTATTTGAAAACTGTACCAAGAGTTACAGATGTGACTGTAGCTCTGCGGAGAGGACATCTGAAAACTGATACTGCAGTCAGTGTGAAAAACAGCATTACATAGAAACTTAAGATGAAAACGCAACTCTTTTAATAATTTGTCCATTTGCACTGTATACAATAGGTTTACAGGACAATGATTGGAAGAGTTTGAATGGAGTTTGGCATGGGTGAGAAATTTTAAGTGCTCACCCTCCACCTCTCATCATATCCACCCCCACACACTCCCTTGAATGCTTACACATACACACAGATGTCAGAGAGGTCTGAGTGACTCTACCCCTGTCACTGGGTGCCTGCTGCGAAAACAGCAACACCCCCCTCCCCCCTCCCCCCTCCTACTCTCCTCAACCCCCCTCCCCTCTCTCCCTCTTCTCTGGACGCCAGCCTGACATACCAGACCTTGTTCGTTAGTGCATATTTTTACCCACCGTTACTAAATTAGGAAGCCAGAGGGAGCAAATGGAGTGTGGCTGCCAAGGCAGAAGAAGAAGGGTCTGATCAGGCCTGGGTTTGCTGAGGGCCCATGCCAACCCTACCAGCTTCATTAAGAGCCACTTGGGTTTCAGAAATAGAAGTCCAACAGGGACTGGGGCCAAACAGAGCCCTGAATGGCCAGCCAAAAACTCACGGGACAAACAAACAAATAAACGGGTTGACTCATGGCCTGCCAGAATCAACCGGCAGCAGCCATCCCAAGGAGCCATAAGAAGTTATCTTAGGCAGTCTTGCACACAAAATGTTCACTGCCCTGAGTTTAAAAGTGGTGACAGTACACGTACTGCCAGCCCAATACAGAATAAATTAACCTAGAAAGCGGTCTCCAGAGACCAATTTCTCAAAGCAGCCACAGAGACGTTACTTCTTGTTTATCTGGCATGGACTTTGGGCACTGATGTAAGAAAGGATATTTTCACAAGGAAATGTACATTTCCGCCCTGCGATGGACTGGTGACCTGTCCAGGGTGTACCCCGCCTTTCGCCCAATGGCAGCTGGGATTGGCTCCAGCCCCCCGCGACCCTGTACGCAGGATAAGCGGTTGACGATGGATGGATGGATGGATGGCTTAAATGTACATTTCCTCTTCTCACTACTGGCATATTACATTAATGTCTATGAAAGTACAGAATGATGTGGAGCACAGGTATTATTTATATGTATATTTAAAACCAGGTTTTATTTGAATTATAAAAAAAGCGTTCTCCATCTATACCTACTGACTGACAGCACTACATATTCGTCTTGGATTCATGATGATTCATTTGCAGGTAACTGTCATCATAAAAAATAAACTTGACAGGCAAAAGGTTATTAATGTTTTACCATTTTCTGACTGTAAATGTGACAACAATATGGTTAACTAAAAGCATGCAACGTCTTCAGAGGACTGAGAAACAAATAAATGAATGGTCTGAGAAGTGCGGAGGGTGCAGTTTGGATAATGCTGAAAAAAGAAGGATGGCCCTGGGGTTTTACTGCCAGTTTAACAGCTTGAAGTGTGCATGCCCTTAGGAGAGGCCGAAATCCCAGCAATCACATCTTAAAAGAGCACAAACAATATCATAATACTCCCTTGAGCACAACTGTAAAACCTACAGTATATCTATCATTCTTGTGTTACTATACTGACATCTTGTGGAGATATTAGAAAACTACAATTCACATGTTCAAAATTGTTCTGAGTTCTAACAGAATTGTACAATATTCCTGACATTAGAAAAGATATTTTTACGCCTTTAGGTTGCATGGCATTTCCATAGAGATGTGCATTGAGAAAGAATGTAGGAAAAAGAAACATTAACAATGGTCGCAAGCCAGATTTAAAACAGTAAGTCACCTCCAGCTAAGATACTCACATTTCTGCATTATTGCTGGATCTAAATGGACCAAAAATTACACTTAAACAACAATGTACAAAGATTTCTATAGCTAATATTGCTCTTTTTATGTATTCCCAATCTGTTCATGAAGTCTAAAGGTTTCTTTTTATTCTAATAAAACAACAGTTACTAATACTGGCATAACTATTAATACTGATGACAATAATAATCACTTAATTTATTTTTCTTATTTTCATAGTAGTAGCTAGTAGCATGTGGTGTAGGAGTAGTATCCATGGTCACGTTTGGCACACTGTAAGAACAGGATTCATCATCTGCAATGCAAAATCATTTTGATTCAGACATTGTCCTGGGGAAATAAAAAGATTGATTGATTGATTGATTGATTTTTATTTAGAAGGGACCATGTGTAATTAATAACATAAATGTAAACATTTGATGCATTACACCAGAGTTAGCCTTAGGCTAATTTACATCTGCAGTCCCCAAATACAAATAAATACAAATACATACAATATAAATATCGACATTATTCAAAAATACACGGCATATCAAACATAAAACATCAGACATTGTTCAAGAGCATATACCATGTACTTAATGCCCTTCACTGGCACACACACACACACACACACACACACACACACACACACACAACATACAATGGTAAGCCAACACCCAACCCCTTCTCAACCCTTACGTCAACCCTACAATAAGAAGGTAAATGTGAGTGAAGGAAAAAATTATATTACCCACTGACAAAATAGTGGGTGCATTGTTGTGAAAGTTTTAGATGTTTTTTTAAGTTATCTTTAAAGGCCCCAAACAAGTCACAAGTTTTTATGACTTGAGATGAGGGTTAATCCCCAATTTATCCTCTCTCTGTGCATTATGAAACATTATTTCTATGCTGGAATACTACCTGGCCCCAGGTATGATGTGTAGTTATTTGATTAACACAAATTAACTAAGGAATTTGCAACATATCAAAACAAAACTTGAAAAGTCTTGAAACTAGATTTTGACATGACAGGACCTAACTAGCAGGTCGCCTACTAATGGCCTATCTTCATAATGACCGGCCCTAATAGTTGTTTATTGTGCTATATTGTTGCATATTCCCAGAAAAAATGTCAAAGGTCCCACAGGTTAGTTAGACTGGTTGAAGATGGCAGTTATGCTGGGAATTGCCTAACTCGATGAACTAATAACAATAATATTTTGGCTTCTTTTTCTAAGTGAACTAATAACAATGATAAGGGTGTAAAAATTATAAGTTCCACCCATGTACTCTGCAAGTCAACACATTATTGAGAAAATGTCTAATCAGGCAACATAACGTGGTGTGGATGAAGTAGAGGCTTTAAACTGAAAAATAAAAACAAACAGTTAATACACCCTAGAGCTTTTGTGACCCATAATTGTGGGACCAGAGATCATACCCAGCTAACTGTGAAGGTTCTCAGTCATCCAGGTCATAGTTATCCAAGGAAGGTTAAAATCAAGGGCAACTGGACTTGGTTGAAACTACTCGAAGGTGTTTCGCCCCTCATCCAAGAGGCTTCTTCAGTTTTGACTGACGGGTAGGGAAACTCAACTAATTAACCTCTGTGGGGTTGTTGCCGAAAATGATCGTTACCACTGGTACGGGTTGTAACGACAGTCGTTATGGTCGTTGGAGCCACTTGAGGCCAACTATAAACGACCATCGTTGGCATCCTCACCTGACTCCAAAGGTTTCCTGGGAAGTGATGAAAGCTGCCACTTAACATTACATTTTAAACACTAAACGTAACAGCCTGGTGTCTCTATACCTACCTATAAACGTTCACTGTTAGGCGTATTTTTTGTTTTGTTTTATTAGAATAACGTTAAACCTGTTGTTATAATTATTCACGACAGTGTAAAGTAAATGAAAGACATCTAAATTGGGTTATTTGAGAACAGCGCGGTTCTTGAATGCACCCCATTTCCTTTACACTATTTGGGCTATGTACCTTCAGGAAAGGCGTTTCCAGAGATGGACAGCCCAGCTCCTGTAATGTTACAGTGACATGGTTTTAGACTTACTGTGTGTTGGGTTATTTTAAGCCCAAACGTTCAGTTCTCCCAATGAAACATTGAAGAGGAAGAAGAGCAGCAGTTGGTCACGCTCGCGGGTGTAGCAGCGTAACCACGGAAACTAAAACGTAAAGAGCACAAACGGTAGAAGGCGGGTTAACGTTACATCCATAGACCGTACGGTTAGATCCCTTGCATCTTACATTGATTGTAAAAGAAATGGCTGCTGATCACGCAATGACGTCTGAGTAAGTGATCTGTTCTTACAAATATTTTTGTTTAACCCTTGGATCAGTCAAGGTAACACTAGATGGTAATGGTAACGTCAATAACCTCGCCAAACATAAGATAAAAAGAAAAATGTGTTTAAAGTAAAAAAAAATATTAAACTGTATTAGCACCCGTATCAATTGTGTCCTAAATGCATTTGTATTAAGTGAGTCTACTTTGTAAGAGCTAGCATTTCAGATACTAAAAACTGCTCTAACTTAAATGGATGTCCTCCTCGACATAACGTACCTTGTTTGACAGCATGGGAAGCACCAGCAGAGGGGTTGATACATCTCCTCCCCGTGACTCAGATGTATTGAGTACGTCACAAACAGGATATGCTAAGAAGGAATTTATTATGATGCCACCTGAAGAAAAGCTCAAACACTTTGACAGCCGAGCTCAGGCCCATGAGGGCAACCAAGAGGTGTGTACAGTATATGGTTGCAGTGACATTCATTGCAGTTAGTTGCACCCAGAAGATGTGCTTTTACAACTTATCTTGCAGACTTTGGTCTTGTTGACAGGGCTGATGCATAATAGTGAATCTATACAAGATGTATGCACACTCCAAAGGGTTCAACTAATAGTTCTTTCTTAATATGTTTACATGCACATTAATATTCTGGTTTTAAGTCTTATCCTGGTTTTGATCATTTTCGAGAGATGACATTTACATGGAACACCACAAACCTGATCACACATATCCCTGCCTATATACCTGATAATAACAGTATCCAGGTTTCTGATTGTCTGTGTGCAGGTGCGTCTTGAATCCTCAACATCTCAGCTAATTTGTATGCCAGCAAAGAATGATACAACATGTGGATAAGGTGTTTATACGCCACAGTATCCTGGCATCTATCAGAGTACTCCAGGTAGCATACCAAGGTTTCTCAAAACCAGGGCAAGACCTTATCCAGGATAAGATGTTTACATGGGCTACATGTTACCGGGATACGCGTGTGCATGTGCTGTAAGAGACATGGCCATTAGAGACTATGCTTTCTGTTAGTTTGAATAGAAGGTTTTTTACTAAGGTACACATCCAATCAAGTCAATTTATATTACCCAATATAATGTCACGATTTGCCAGGTGAATGATTGACATTAGTTTCTAAAAGCTAATCTAAGCTCTACACTGTAACACAGAATGATTAATGATATGGCTTTAGATGCGTGGTACAGTGGGCCATCAAAAGAAGTTATACTGACACTGTCATTTACTGTCTCAGTTTGATGCTTGTATCCAGGACCTGGTACGTTGTGTGGCTCTGACTAGGCTGGTATATGGAGAGGAACATCTGAAACTAGCCCAGGCCCATGCCAGACTGGCTAAAGCATATTTCCAGTTCAAAGGTAATTTATAGATTATACAACATTGTGAGTACATTGTAACACTTAACTGCAGATTATACAATTGATTTTCAAAATATTACCACTTAAGATAGATACAGATTTAGCTCCTGCGTTATGCATTTTTCATGTGGTGTTACTTTGGTCTAACAACTGCTAATGAAAGGGTTGTTAATTGGGAATAATGTTAAGATGATGTTCAGATTTAGAGTTAGCATGCTGTTCAGTCTACACTCACTGATGACTCTTTGTTCCCTCAGGCTGGGGGCTGCAGGCCCAGGAATACTCGGCCCTGGCCAGAGAGCTGCTGCCTTTCTGCACCTCCATCTCCTCCTGCAGGGGTGAAAAGCTCGAGTTTCTCACGTGTCTCCTGAGCGTACACCTCACACAGGGAGGTGCCTCGCTGCTTACAGCCAAATATCCTTGCCATGATATGTTTTATAATAATGTATAGGATTGAACAAGACTTATCAACTCAGATAACAAGCTGGATAGGTCCTTGACTGATTTTGACTCTTGAGGAGGCAGAATCTTCTTTTGTGGAGGCAGAACAAGCTCTTGAGAAGCTTTATCAACATGATGGCATCAACCAGGAAGAGAAGATAAAGACTGAGCTGGAAATCTCCACATCACTATCCAGGTTCATTAGTGAAAACCATTTTGTATAATATTTTCAATACTGCAGATACAGTATCTAGTCATAACAGAAAAGTGGTAAATATACTGTGGATTAAAGGCTTTAATACAGCATTTGCAGACTATAGTATGTATAATAATAACAGCTGCTACTTGGTTGTTGACCTTGCTGTCTGGTAATCACGTGATTTGCTCTATTTATTTCCTGTGACTTATAGTATCATGTTCAAGCTTGGGGTTATTCCCAGTTAAAAGGTAACATGTCCGGTGTTGCTGGAGTGCATTCAGAGTATAGCCTGGATGATTTTACATTTTTAGCAATTGGTAGTATACCTAAATAATATTTATTTTCTTCAAACTCTCCCAATTTCAAATACAGTACCTTAACATCTAATTTTGTCCACAAGATGGCAATAGATTCCCACAAATATTCATAAAATCAACCTTCGACATGGTTTTTGGCTGACTTAACTTTATGCTAGTGAAAACCTCATTATTTCATGTTCTTGTGAACAACAACTTGATTAATCAGGATTTTCCCCTGTGGTTGTCCAGTCCACTCAGCAGTCAGCGTGGGTGTTTTGTAATGATGCTTACAGACCTGCTGGGTGGGGTTTCTGCATGTACACTCATCTATTCACAGCTCAAGCAGAGGCACATATGGTGGAGAAGCATTTCTCCTCCTATTGAAACAATTTCTTCCTTCTCTCCATATGTTTTCTGCCTTTTTTTATTTTTCTTTCACTCTAACCTTAACTCCTTCCTTAACTGTTAACCCCTCTCACCTCATATCAGGTGAGGGGGGGTCCTAAGAGGTCCTAAGGCACAACATGGTCAGGAAAAGATTATAGACTTAACGGATCATGGTGGAGACACCAAGTAGAGACATCAAGTGCAGGAGACACTGATACACTGTTAAGGGGACTGTGTTGCCTGGCACTTGTCATAGCTTAGATAACTGGGTGGGTGAAATTAGAAGCATAAACAGGAAATCAAGTATAGTCTTACCTGGGTTGAGATCGCCCCACTTAGACTTGTATGTAGGACCCCATTTTTGAAAGTTCCGTTGTGAGGAAAGGGGAGCAAGGCTCCCGCCGCATTTACAGTAAACAAGCCTTATCAGCAGCTGAGGTGAGCTACACTCATAGGAATTTGTAAATTATGCCATCTTGGTCTGTTTCAGAGTCAGAGTTTGTTGACATGATGTGTGTAATTGAAAAAATGTGCAGAGTCTGGCTGGCGTGTAAGCTTGCTAAATCTCTTTTTGTTAGGTGATGACTAAGAATTTGGCATGCTTCTAAAGCTCTGACAGTCAACACTGTTGTGATGGGGGGGAATGTTCCCACCAAAGCCTGCAACAATAAAGGAAGCTCAGCTCTCTTATAGAACCTGGTCCAAACATATTCTGCTTGGTTTTAGATTCACACTCAAGGTGTACACTCAGCCAGATGGGATATTTGATTCAAGGAAGCTTTATTGTTGGGTTTAAATTTGGTGTGTGTGTGTGTGTGTGTGTGTGTGTGTGTGTGTGTGTGTTGTTTGTTTTGTTTGCTGTTGTGGTATGAAGTGGCCCTGTTCATGTCTCTCTCTATGTATACTGTTTATGTATAGGCTATTGACTGGATTCACAGACATAGTGTACAGCATAGCTACTGTATGTCAAATACCAGTGGTATTCCTATACTTGAGATCCAGAGTCTGTTTGTTTTCCTTACAAAAAGGTAGCTCTTATTCTCTCTTAAATCAGGTATTTTGTTGTAGATGCCATGATTGAGAGTCACTACCCAAGACTGAACATGTAGTTTAGTATTCTTCCTCATAGTCTTTTACCCAAATCTACCCGAGGCACAGAATAACAACTCTCATCAGTCAGAATGCCATCAGTTCAAAGCACCATGCAGAATTGCTGGAACAAGCTGTTGTGTTTCTGTCCCTCTGTTTTTACTTTGGCCTGGTCTTACTGTATTATTTTCCAAGTGAAAGCCCAGAGCAAGCTTACGTCAACTATGTTCTGGAAACGTTTACAAAAGAGGTCTGTTTGGCTTGCTTGGCAACACATCTACAAATCCTTAATTATATAAATTTCCTGCCCTGGGGACTTTTCGTAGATTTCAGTGGGCTGTGGCATATTACCATTTTGCCAGGAAGTGTGTAAGGATGCAGAGTGAATGAGAGGATAGAGGGGTATTGTCTCTTGTCTGTCCAGGCAGGCCAAATGGAAGCATGCTGGAATGTAGCTCTGCTTCAGCCATCGTTGCTGCCCTAAAAGGAGCTGAAGTGCCTGCTCCATGAACACTTATGGGCGGGGCACTCCTACTATCCATCATGACATGTTAGGATAATCTTGGATTCATGGGAAAATTCTGAGAAATTAACCATCACACTGTTTGTGGAACCTGTGCTGCTGACATTTAACCAGTGAGCCATGAATACCCAGATCCACGTGGTCCAGGGATGTGAGGATGCCATAACACTGACTTTTGGTTCACATACAGGTTGCCCCTGCTAAAACATACTGTATGTTCTCATGATACTGGAGGGCACATTGGATAAAACCTTAAATCAAATGGCGTGCTTTGACAGACTTCATTGAGCATTCTGTAGGTAAATTGATTGTCATCCAGATAGCAACATACAACTTGTATGTGGGAAGACTGTTTTGTGTTTTCCTGTACTGCTGTTTGACAGCAATGTAGCTTGAGATTTTACAGTAGTGAGTGGTGTGCCCTCCCCCTTGACTGGAGAGCTGAATTAAATTTAGAGTCCATTAGATGGTTGGAAGCCATTAGCAGAGCAGCCTGTTGGATCCAGTGTCCTTGCAGTGGTTAACGCAGCCATCATCTCATCTCCTCTTGCTACTCTCCCAACGCTTTTTTCTCTGTACAATCCCAAGCAACTCAGGAAGTGACTGTCTTTTAAAAGAGCAAAGACTCTGTTGTGTGCATCAGCAAAACACGCAAAGCCTAAGACCTTGGTAGCAACAGCATATGTACAGACGGGTGACAAATCGTAGATGTAGAACTCTAAGCTCCCCATGACTAATCAAGGACCACGCTTAGCTATTCAGCTTTTCTTTGGTGGTTTCCACTGAGACTGCGAGAGTATCCCCTAATTTAAACACCTCAGAATTAGAGTTTGTAAAAACAGCAGGAGTTATTTGTCAGAGTCTGAGAGGCTGTAGTTAAAGTTGGGGATGGGTAATCTTCAGTCCCACAGGAGACAGTTAGAGACTTGTGAAAGGATGCAACCAAAAACAGTTAGAAGGGCAATGTGCAAGCTTTCCCTATTATAGTCTTCACTACGCCAGACTTCATCTGCAGCCATTAGCCAAAAGCATTCACCACTCCGCTGGGTCTGGGTTTGGCTAGAGACCAATCAATCCCTCCAGGCTATAGTACTGAAGTAACAACATTATGGGTAAATAGTGTACACTGATAATAGTCTAATAATAATACTAATAATAAAGAGTGTTATTAGATAGCGTTTTTTTATTTAAATAATTATGTGTTTTGCTCAACTACACTTGCATGCAGAAAAACTATTTGAAGGGTTACTCTCTAATCATTGCGCTGTCCTGTTGCCTTATACAGTGTGATGAACTGGTCACTGTCTTCATGTCTGTCTTTCTGTCTATGAAAATCTGTCCATTTGTGTGTCCTCTCTACTCTATAGAGTCTATAAGAGACAGAACAGACCAGATGAGGCTTTAAGCCAGTGTGAGAGGTCTCTGCAACTGCTGAGGGACTGTGGTCAGCTAGAGAAGACATGCTCTGTCTATAGGGACATGGCCGCCATTGAACAGGACAAAGGTCATTTGGACCGAGCCATAGAGCATCTCTCCAAGGCAAGGGCCATATTTCTGACGCATCATACACAACTCGCAACATAGGAGGATTTCTTGAGAGGGTGCAAGGCTTTGTTGTTGGGTAATGTTCCCACACCTCTTATTTTGGTGATATGTGATCTGTTTTATTTCACGTGGGTGTTTCTGCTAGGCTCATGCCATTGCTATGAGTCACAGCCTAGAGAAGCTAGAGGGGGCTCAGATCTCCCACAGACTGGCCCTCATCCTGTGTGCTGCAGCAGAGCCCCATCACAATGGTGAGTTTATTCACAGACACAGCCTAGGTCAGAGCGATGTGCACAAGAGGTTAATCAGGATATGCATCTCCCATTGTCTTCCTATATGTGAAATTCTTTAAGATGGTGTTATGGAAATCAGACTTATAATATCCACATTGAAGACCAAGTTCTGTCAAGTCTGTATGATTCACCCATGTCAACTATGCCAAGGCATATGTATGCTCCATGGTAACTACTAAAGCTTAACATCTGGAAACGATGATTAATTAAAAGGATTGATGTAGGAAAAGCTAAAGAAAACAGTTCATTGCTTTTTTAGTGTTGTTTTCAGTTACTCTGTCAATTATTGCCTTAATTTAAATTAACATTTGTGTGTTTGTGTCTGGTGTAGATTCTGCAGGTCAATACTTTGAGCAGAGTCTAAGTGCATACAAAAACTCTGCAGGTGCACAGGATCCAGCGTTTCTCGCTACCCAGGATGATTTCTGTCGTTTCCTCCTCCTCAATGGCCAGCAAGAGGTCACACACACACACACACACACACACACACGCTTACAAACATCCAAATCTGCAAAACCAGTGAGACAATGCCACTGCAGTGATTTCCTTCCAGCATTTGATATAAGTATCATAAATATATCATGTGTTTTTTCTCATGAAATTTTAAAACCCATTGCAGATTTTCAGTATCCACAATTGTTTTGTTCAGAGAGCAGCACCATGGAAACACCATCAGGGGATTTATTCCACCTGCTAAACAGGGTGTGGCTCTCACCACCGATGGCAAGAGATGGTTTACCTATTTTTGATGTACCATTGCAGAGATGTGTGGAGATCCAGAGAGCTTCTCTTGCTACAAAGAGATCGACGTTCGGTGACCTGAGTGCTGAGGTAGCAGACACCCTTCAGCTGATAGGAAGTGTGGAGATGACTGAGGGCAAGATGAAGCAGGCCCACCGGACCATGACAAGGGTAATCAGAACACAGACGGCACATCTATTGTTTGTCTTTGTTTTAACCTCTAACTGCAAATTAGAAATGCTGGACAGGTTACTGTCATCCAACGTGACCCTGCCAAAATATTTGGGAGGCTTTAATAAAAGGCCAGGAGTCAGTGGGAGTGTCACCAGTGAGACGCCTGCTCAAAATATAAACACAAAAAGTTCCTGTCATGTTGAGATGAGCTATTTCCACCATCCTCCCTAAAGCTCAGCGCTATCAGAATCGCATGCTAATCTTGGAAGGGCGCAGTGTGCAGAGGCGCCCTCCCTGGTGTAAAATATCACACAGAGTGACTTTGTGTTTCCTCAGTCTGGATGGAGCCTGTCAGATGGGCAACACAACTTTGGAAGGAGAATGGCAGTTTGCTAACTGCTTTCAATTAAAGGGACACTGACCCCAATTAGTGCGGCATGCCATTATGTCCTTTGAAACAAAAGTGACATTCCTACATCTTTCAGCACACATATATTGAATAACGGCAGCCTTTTAGTTCATTTAATGATGTCACTCCTCTCATCTATTTAGTCCTTATGCAATGAGTGTTTTTGTTTTTCCACATACAGTATGACTGCACATGTTTGCCATATGAGCTCAGTTCTGCTGCCCATCAAACATACTAAATACACTAGTAAATGGGGATTTCTTCATACTAGTAATGACATGTCTGTAAGTAAAGGAGCCCAGTTGCTATGTTGATTTGTTATGGGGCAGAGGGGGTCCCAGTTCCCCCACTGACAGGGTATGTCAGGGCTCACTCTACACCACATGTACACTGACACAGAGATAATATGTTAGAACATTTTTTTCCTCCTGTCATCATGACACCATCTGCACTGTGATTGAGTAACTTTTTTGTTTTTCCAAAGGAAGCCTGACTCATACAGTAGATACATTGCATATGATTTACTAAAAAAACATAAGAGAACAATGGCACACATGCAGACATACACTTGACAGTGCCCCTCCCTCTGTAGTGCTGCTGAAAGAAAGCCCTTCCATTACATCAACCTTAGCAACAGTGAAAACATCCAAGAGGCCAGATGGGTCTTTTCCAGATTACTGAGTGTTTTCTACTTTTCCTGGTGGAGAGGGAAACTTTTCGCTCCCTCTTTCCTGACTTTTACAAAGTTCTCTTCACATCTTGTTATTTCTGATGATTGTAGAAATGCAGGCAGGCTTTTATCATGTCTGTTGTGACATTGCATGCACACGCTGTATAATCATATACATTTGTTTGTAGATAAAATGTTTTTTTCTGGATTTTGTTAAATTAGGCATTAACTTCTGATGTCATAGAGCTAAGCAGCCATTGCTCCTTCCTCTCATTTGATTGAACCAAACTAAATGTAGAGTGGAAAATGACTCAGGCTGCTTCTTAAATGTGTTGAGTTAACCTGGGTTGTTGCTTTGGAGTCCTTGTAATAAATCTACCAGATCCCCGTGTTGATCCGACAGTCCGAGTGGTCAGCACAGGTGTTATCTAAACCTTGGACTGCTACAGTGGTTATTTTTGGATGTTTAGAGCATTCACATGTTGCTAGGAAGTATTTATTCCCCTCTGAGTATGAGCTGTACCTCTCATCTTCTACTGATCCCTCACTCTACTGTCATAAATTTTTTAAAATTTATTATAGTGCCTGGAGATCCACAGTTTGCTATACGGTCCTCAGCACAAGAAGACAAAGGCTACCCAAAAAGCTGTGGACATGCTGGCCCGGTAAATCTGCAGAACATTGACTTACTTTTTCCACTAATGAAACTGTACTTTATATTACATCAAGACATTTGATTCTCCTGATGATAAATTGCCAAACAACTGTTTTTTTAATTTAATAGTATGATTAAAGCTAGGGTAGACAATGCTGCCTGCGCACACTCTGGCTGTGCACTCAGTGTGAATGAAAATGTGTTTTGTAGGAGTGGCTTTGGAGGGGGGCCTGAAGGGAGGGGATGGATTTTTTTTTTTTTTTTTTGGTTGGATACTTTCAAAATGTAGCTGTTTCTTGCTAGTTTCTCTAACATTACCTGCCCCAGCTTTAAGATGGAGGAAAAGATGAGTTGAGAACAGACATGTTTCAGTGATGCAACCATGTACTATATTTTTTGCAGAGCACCGGAGGTGGCTGAGAGTCAACAGAGGCAAGGTAGAAGGAAAACAAAACCTCACACACTTTCAGTTGTACCATCCAGGGGCAATGATGGAAACTCTATGTTGGACTCTTGAAATGTTCTTTCTTTATTTTGTCACTACAATAACCTTGCAGGTGTGGACCAATAACTACTGACATATAGTTTTTTAAAGAAATATGTTTGTCTGTTAAATCCACTGGCGGTACATGATTTTGTGCATTAGCTGAAATGAGTTAGCTTTGAAAAAATACTCACACTCAGAAAACATACACACAATAGGTTTTAATTGTGTTAAGATATGAATTACTTTCCAAACACAGGCTTGAACCTTTTTAAGCAAAGCAATAATGTCATTTGTTCAAAAGAAATCATTATGTCAATAAAAGCAATGATGTTGGTTTGTCCATGTTGGCAAACGCTTATTGAATTGAATTCTTTATACATCAATAGATTTTCTGTTAGCTCATGTACACATTTTCTTTTATGCTATTAAATGGCACGTGGTATCCAGATTACACTGTGTACGTCCATATACAGTATCCTAACACAGATTCCTTTTTTAAGTGCACTGATGAAATCATGTTTTTGTTTTTATTATAGTACTATAAATTACTGCAGTTTGCAAATGCGATCATGTATGGAAAATATGCTGTATCTGGGCACTTAATGCAACAAGTGTTTTTAATTGAGGTTTCATTTTGTAGATTTCTAACAATGAACATATTCATAAAAGCATTAAATTCACACTAAACATTGCATTTCTGCACATTTTTTTAAACATGATTGTGCCAGAAAGCTAATGTATGAAGTCAACAGTTGCCCAATAGTTAGTTAGTAGTTAAAGTATAAATTTTGAATATGTGCAAAACATGTAACCAGGCTGTAATTACAGTGGACCATTTCTATCTCTGCAACTAGAACACAACACAACAACCGCTAATGAACTGTCATTGCCACTAAGCAGATGATCCAAAAATAGTCACCGTCACACACTCTTATGTTAGAGCAAAGGTGAATCCTTCAAGCCAACACTGTGATAACCAACAAATGTATACAAGCAAAAGGCATCCAGACAAGACATACTGTACATCAAACCCGGATGTGATTATATTTGCTTTAACACTTTGACTGAATCTTTTAAATTCATCAGTATTATGCTGCTACTTTTCATCTTACTATTTGCTTTTCAAATTGGCAGCCCTAGTTTTGTTTGTTTTACATGGTGTAATTTACAATTCCCAGCTCCCTAATCTCAGATCAAAATGTTCACAGTTGGGAAATTAGAAATGTATGGTATTGACACATACCATGTAAAGATGAACATTTTACAAACCTGTTTCACACTGATTACATTTATCATGTTATATAATAGTCATAATAATTTTTTCCATAATTAATCAAAATGTGCTTTGTGCCATTAGTTGTGAGTTAATTTAAATCGTCTAAAAGTACATAACTTTGAAAGTTTCTTAACAACCCGTTTTAAGTGCCACATTTACATCCACTACACCTTCATTTCAGCATTCACAACTTGCAAATTAAGACACATTACCATCTTTTTCTCCAATCCCACTACACTGTCCTCAGCTACAATCTTAACTAAATTCTGTACTCATCACTGACTACTGCTTAAAACAAATTTCTCTGTTCCAGTATGCAATATATAGTAAAACCGTTCCATTTATCAGCAGTGCCCAAGTCAAAAGAAAAATGAAAGCCCCAATCTTCAAACAGCGCACAGCACCTTATAACTCCAACTGTCATATGTTAGCTTGCATTAAATGTGGACCAAGTAGATTCAGCAACATGGCAAGACACAGCCATGACGTGACAGGGTGCTGTAATCTGCAGAATGAGCCGTTTAAGCTTTACAGCACGGGTCAATACAAAAATAGAGAAATCTAGAGAGAATAAACAAACCTCTTTGAGGATATACTGCAAGCTAAAAAAAAGGTTAACACATACCAGCGCAAGATAAGCGCAAGCATCAGTAATGACCAAGATAAGAATTTGCTAGAATACGTAGATATTACAATCCTAAATTAAAATACCTCATATTAGTTAGCACTCACTATTTTTAATAGGTACACCCAGTTTTATGTGACACACGCAGGTACCGTAAAACAGTGCACCAAAATCAATTAGATGTATATAATGTTCAACTGCAAAACTTAAAGCATTATTAAAGTGTCTGCAAACAGCATTAATGCCGTGTGTGTGGGCTCCTGCGTGACAACAAACTCTGTATGTGCACCTCAACAAAGTAACATTGGCAAGTACTGAGTTTGAAAATATGTTTGACTGAATTCTTTCTTAATCATCTGTTGGGCTTTCAAGGTAAACTGTTGCAACTCTTTTCTCTTGAGAAATCTTAACAGGGGTGTCCGAGACTTGAGATCGCAGCTCTTGCTCCGAGGCAGCGTCATCGTGGCTGCCTTGTACATCCATCTGGAAGGTGAAGGACTTTGAGTTCGATGGCCCCAGTTTGATGTGTTTCTCGGTTATTTCATAAGCAGGCTCTCCTTCGTGAGTGAAGCCTTCGAACTCTTCACCATACGCAACATCCTCTTCTTTGGAGACTCTGAAGCTGTATCCTACTCCAGCCCCTCCCTGGAAGGCTTTCTCAAGGCCTAAGTTAGAAGATCGGAGAGTTGCCATGATCTGCTCTTCAGATAGGTCATCTCCTGCCTCCAGCAGCCCAGAGTCTTCCAGGGTTTGAGACACGTTCAGCTCTGCAACTATAGTCATGGTGCCATTGTCACTTGACTGTTGCACTTTTTTGACATTGACCGCCACATTCTCCGGACTTTCACTACTCACTTTTGTGAGGAAAGCCAACTCCTCCTTCAGTGGACCCGACACTGAGCTTTGTAGCTTCTCTAGAGCTCCCCTCAGCTGATCTTTGGGCTCCAAAGAGTCCTCTCTCAGGAATTCAAGAACTGACTCCTGAACTACAGGGGAGACACGAACCTCTTCTTCAATGATGCACTCTGGGAAACTCTCTTTGACAAATGAGTGATCACTGGACATGGACTTGTATTCATCACTTTCCTCTACAGTCACTCTTTTTGGGGGAACATCTTGATAATATCTCTCATCTGATAGGTCATCTACAATACCATAATGGCCATATGAGGTAATGCCACCCCCCTCCTCGGGTTCAGAAAGATTATCATCTGGTGTGGAGACAAAATATTCTTGAGGCTCTTGGTCATGGGAGAAATATGAAGATTCACCCTCTCTAGAATGCTCTTGAACTTGTACAGATCCACCCTTGCGATGATCTCTATCTGTCATGGAGGTTTTCATGGCATCACTATCACTGCTCTGAAATTGAGCTTCATGAGGGACATTTTCAAGCTCCTCAATTTGGAAATATGTTGAGGAGGGTCCATAAAAACTAGACCTGGACTTCTGTTCAACCTCAAGCTCCTCATCACAGTGAGACTCCACTGGTTCCTCAATGATTTCCACGTTGACAGATTTATTTTCCAGGCCCTCGCCTCCCTGCAGGCCACTTAGCAGGTTCTTGATCATGCTTCCTGTTGCTGTGTCCTTGATGTCCTCCAGTGAGACCTTCTTAACCCCTTGGCTTAGCAGATTGTCCAGTGCCGAGTCCTCTGAAAAATCCAGCTCTTCCTCCACTTTGGATTCCAGCACAATCTGTGTCTTAGTCGTGCCATCTTCCTGCTCAGTTTTCTCCACATGATACCTTACCTTCGATTCTCCCGAGGAGCAAACCTGAGCTTCCAAACCTGCTGGTTTTATCACGTTTTCAATGATCTCCTCCACAGACAGAGTGTCTAATATCTTTTTCTCACTTGGGCCTGTCGTAGACACTGTTTTCCCTTTATCTTTGATCTCGCCTTCATAAACATTATCTTTCTCTTTTTCATCTGACACTTTCTTTTTGCTTTCTGTCTCAGTTTTCATGCTCATGCTCATCATTGGCGGTGACACCACTCTCACTGATTTTGTCTCAGTAGCAGACGACTTGATGGGACTTACTTGCTCCTCTGTTGTTTTTTGACTAATTTGGTTTTCACTCAGACCCGTTAGATTGTCTTTGGTGGCAGTGGCTGTGCTGTTTGCAGGGGCTGAAGTGGCAGCCCGAGCTTTGGTGAATGAGATCATGTCCCTTCTGGAGGCAGGACTCTGATGCCGAGCTCTGCCTGCAACTGAAATAGGAATGACCCTAGAGGGACTTATGGACCCAGAGGGAGGCACAGGGGATCTTCTCAGCTTTGAAGTCGGCGGCGTGTACCTGATATCCATATGTTGTCTGGTGGTTAAGGTGGAAGCTCTTGGAGTGTAGGGATGGGCAGGCATCTTAATGTCTGAGACAGAAAATGAATTAGCATGAATATTTAGATACTTAAAGCAATAGTTATATTTTGGAAAATGATGCGTATTCGCTTTTTTGGCAAGAAGTAGATGAAAAGATTCATACTACTCTCATAACTGTTTGGAAAAAATGAAGCTGGAGCCAGCAGCTTAGCTCATTGTCTTGTTATCACTGTGAGATTGCCAGGCATCCAGTGAAGACTCACTGAAGAAGTCACTGCTCCCGGCCAAGAAATAGTCCGGTACATAACGCCCCGTAAAACCACAACTTGTTGTTTTTACACATAGATATGGCAGTGGTATCGATCTTCTCATCTAACTCTCAGCAAGAGGGCAAATAAGCATTTTTGGCTACCTGTTAGACTGTTACTTTAAAACTAGCCTTACAATGTACTCTTGTGATCAATGTGTAACAACAATAAATACTTTTAATACAGTACCTATTATTCTTTCTCTTTGATGTTGAGTTGCCCTCCTATGAGCATCTGGCAGACCCACTCTTTCACCCTCCAGGAGTGCCCTGAACAAACAACAGACAAAATACATTTGAAGACAAGGGCAAATGTCAATATAAATAACTGTTTGTCCTCGTATTTCAACATAATATTTTTTCCCATATATAGAAAAAAAGATCAAAGACAAATACCTCACAAGACGGTGTACATCATTCAGCTCTGCCATTTCAACAGTCTCAAACTAAATGCCACAGGCTTACAAGACGGTAAGAACCCAGGACCTGACCATATACGGTGGTAATAATTAAAAAAGTAAAAGTTGCTGTCATAATACTAATAAAGACCTTGTAATAATTAGCTCCAACAGCTCACCTCTGCTTGGCCATTCTTCAACAAACATACAACAGCAAACCTCAAAATGGAACAACCTCTCCAGAGAGTGCCCTCCGAAAGACTGACTTAAAAATAAAAGCTACAACGCAGGCCTGTCCACACTTCCCTATGAATCCCAAAGCAAAAGCTGACTTGTGACACATAGAAAAACACATGCCACTGCCACGTGTCTGAGCAAACATTTTGTCTATTCCAAAAATCCAAAACAAACTAGATGTGCCAGAGGAGAGGATGCCATATACAGACACACTGGAGTGGAAGGTCTTAAAGAACTTCCAGGGAATTGGCTTAATACTAATACAATTGTTGAATCCCTCGACAATTTCAACATCTGTTGAAGACTGCATAGATGTCCTGTGATATGAGGTAAGATGTTATGGTGTTCCCAGGATAACTTCAAAACCTCAACTCGATATTTGACTTCAAACATGAAGATATAGTATGTTTATTGACTGCTTTACAAAGTAAAATAGCCTGCTATGTGATCATATGTAAATTTAGCTATGAAGACTAGATATGCCATGCTATTACAGGATATGAAATACCTGATATAATATATCTTCGTAAACACTTAAAATAAACCACAGACAAAGTTATAGTAAATGTGAGCTACTACTTTTCAATTTATCTGAGTTGTCAAATGAGAGCACTTAGTGCCAAGATCAGCAGAAGAGTAACAGCTGAATTCTTCTAATGTGTATGATAAAATCACTAATTAAACTAAGAGTAACTGCAGAGGTTGGGGGGCTGGTTTGACCAGCAGTCTGTTCTTGAAAGCACTGAAATATAACTGTAAAGAGAGGATGCACCTTTTTGAATTTCAGCTGACTTTCTTAATTCACAAAAAAAACGTTCTACTTCAAGTTAGAAGTGTGTGTAGTGTACTTGCTGTATTTTCAGATGTACTCATATTTAAAAGAATGTTTTCATCACCATTAAAAAAAATGTCAATTCATGGTTCAACTCAAGTTTGGTAAATGAAGACAGTTTGATAATATCAATCACCTTTACAAGTGTAGGACTGCTGTTTTATAGGCACCAAGCTCTTTCACACATAGTAACTCTCCATAGGCATTTTTCACCCTAGACATGTTGGCATGTCAGAGTGTGAAAAGCACAGGTGTAAATAATAATTAATGATGGCTAATAATGATTCTATTTAGCTGCTTCAGTTTCAGTATTGTGCATGCTGGTTCCCTGTCACAGCTTACCAGGACACTTTAAGCCACCATCATTAATGTTATTAGTAACACCTGTGTTCCTGCTATGACAAGTCAAAATGTCTGCTGTGAAAATGTATATTCTACTCAAAGTGACCTGTTAAAAATATCTGTTTTGACTGGACATATGACAAAATAAACAAGCTCTTCACCTGTAGGCAGCCACCTCCATGCCCAGATCCATCTTAACCTGGAGAAGGTGTTGATGCTCTCTCATCTTTTCTGCAATAGTGTCAGCCATCATGTTCCTCTCATGCTCCAGCTGTTCAATAATCATCTGCAGGACAGAACAGAAAAAACACCCTCCAAACATTAAGTTTTCATGATGCACATAGTGTAATTTTAAGTTTATGGTCTATTGGGTATTAAATTTAACTGAAATTCCTGTAATCAGTCTGCTCCCTTGTTAACTAGAAAGTGTGTAACCTCATTTTAATTTACTGCAGGCTACAGTGTTGTTAACTTTGTAAATCTGTTGTTTATGTTTGAGTCAACGCCACTTATTTTTTATTGAGCTCTAATGCAGAAAGATGGCGAACCGGCTGAACACTTACTGTCAAAGTCAAAATCAAGTCTGATCCCAATAACAGACTGCGTTAATCATTCGGACCACTTAATCCCGACCGCTTCGGTCGCGTGAGCCTTTTCCAATAATGTTTAACATCCTACAACAGATGTCACGCTCAACTGAAAATTACCACGGGGTTAAACTGTGAGAAATGTGTTTTTGTTACAATAAAGAGGACCACCCTTCAGTGTATGCGCATGCGTAGTCATTTGTAACTGACTGACCTGCTTAGGACTCCATGTTTAGGAGGCTAATAAGGATTTGTCTGTCTGACAGCTAATTGGTTTAAGTGGCTGGTGTAATCTAGCAGCTATAAAATACTGGGGAGGTAGCTACTCAAGCTATTCAATCCTTTTATACTGAGGTCAAATGTTGCACGCAACGCCCCAGGCTTTTGATAGATAGAGGAACACAAACGTGTCAGGCATCACTTAACGCTTGTAACGTCTTTATGTATCTTGGAGGGCAACATCTACTGCATGTGTGTGTGTTTTTAAGACAGACTGAAGTGAGAGTGAGCCTATAGTCACAGGATGTCATCAGTTATTACCGACAGAAATGTCAGCCTACATTGTGATGATATAGCCTAATAATTATTTAGACAACCGTTAATGCGTTTTAATCCGTTTGACCATCTGTATAGCAGCCACACTGCAGCTACATCAGTGCCTTCAAGTATGGTGGGTGTGGCAGGGACAAGAGGGAGCAGCCCCCCCCCCCCATGGCTCAGTGTAATAAAAGGGAGATTGTTTTGTCTGTATATTTTGAAATGTGTATCGCATTTGTAATATTTGGACTTCTTAAAATAGAAATATTCCATAACCCCACTCCAGTTTCTCTAAAATGTAGCCTAAATCTGGACTCTCTGTCCTACTCTGTTTAATGGGGCTTTTCCTCACCTGATATTCACTGAAGTCCACCCGGAATTTTTCCTGCATGTGCATCAGTTGTTCTTCAAGATGCGATTGAATCTGGGCTTGCTTTTCTGCCTCTGTACGTAATTTGTCCAACTCTGAGGCATACAGCATCTTTTCCCTCTGCATATCACTCAGCCTCGCCTGGTCTGCCTTAATCGACTGCTCCATTTCTTCCACCTTCTGCTGGTACATTTCAAAGGTCTCAAGCCATCCTTCAGACAGACCGCGGGCATACTCCTGCACCTCTTCCATGGAGGCCGCCGGCGGGCCGCGATAAGTTTGCGTGATGATGGGTACCACCCGGGACTCCACCTGACGTCGGAGATGATCCTTTTCTCGTCTGTGCGCATCCTCTAAGCATTTATACTCGTTCTCCAGTTGAAATAAACGCTGCTGGAGTTCACTGTTGGTCTTGTGAGCGTGTTGAAGCTCCCTCCCGCAGCCTTTCAGCTCGCCACTGATGCCATTGCACACCTCAGTCTGCTCGCTGCACAGAGACTGGACCATCTGCAACTCCCGCCATAGCTTCTCCCGCTCCATCTCTGCCTGGGACTTTTCAAACGACAGCTGCCCCACCATTCTCCTCAGATCCCGCATCTCATCCCTGTATTTTGACTCCCACGCCTGCGTCTTCGCTTGTCTGAGTTTATTTATTTCAGTAATAAGATGCGCATTTTCCTGCTCCAGTTGCTTCGTTCTGGAAAGGTACTGGACAAGTCTGCTGTTGAGCTCCTGCAGCTGGTGTTTTTCGCTCTCAAAAGTTCTCTTGAAAGGCAACATTGTGGCTTCTAATTATAAAAAGTGAGTTTAGAGAAGAAGAAAAAAGTCCCGTCTGTATATTAATTCAGGAGACAGGTTGCCCCGGTGTTATTTGCGTGTGCGTCTGTGGACACAACTCTGATGTAATTTGCGATCAGTGGCCTTTGACAAGTGCAGAAGGAGGAGGGCGGGTTCTGCCTCACAGGATCGTCCCAAACGCGTCCGAGTCCCTGGCAGATGTTATGCTGCATTAAAGTGCTGTCTGAAATGTTAACTTTAATGTCGCAGAAATAACGGGTCTAAATGATTGGCCTGTAGCCTTTAAGCCTAGTTGCCACTTTAACTGAAATTTCATAAAAATGTATTGTTTTATTTTTACTTTTTTACTTTTTTACTATATTCATTTTTTTCAGTCCAGTCTTATTATCAGGTTAATTAAACGTGTAATTAAACTTGTAACTTGTATTCGAACTGTAAATGTCAAAGTGAGGATTTACCTGAAGCACTTGAATGCATCACATCCACACAACCTTTTCGTCATCTATTTGCCGGGGAATAGCTCCCCCACGCGGGCAAAAGGTGTGCTGCGGGAGCTAACATAAGCCTTTTTGTTTTTCAGTGTATATTGCTACTGTTGTGAAGTGCGTGGCACCATGCCTTCCTTACTAACTGTATACTTCACTGCGTCATGAATGGGGGCGAAATTGTGGTCGTAACAGGTAAAGTAATAAGTCTTTGCTCATGGATACACGAACTTCTCAAATCGGCGTTCATTCTGAAGTGCGATTTTTAATCCCTTTTTAAGGCTTCGGACCTTTCAGACAGTTTTTAGTGAACCCCAGCTGGAAAGCAGCCCAGGTAATGTTTGAAAATACACTGCCAGCCAGTGTGAAATGCCCATAGAGAGGCATTAAGTTTAATTTTTATTATTATTATTTAGGGGTTGAAGTTGGTCGGATTGGGAGAGCAGACTGGTGTTTACATTAAAGAGTTACCAGTGAGTTATATTAAGACTCAGCAAATCATCGCAGAGATTTGGCAAACTCTTCACCCAAAGGTAAAAAAATATATATACATCTATATATATTCAAGACCAAGGCTGTAGCCTTTTGATTGTTAGAAATACTGAGGCAATGAGTCACTCTAACCCAGCAAATATTGAGCAGATACCAAAAAATAATGAATCCTATATTCATCAATGTATATATTAACCTAAAACTTGTCTAAATTAAATATATTTTGACCAAAAACACTGCAATTAAACCATAAATACCCAAGCCTGAGTTTTTATTAGTAGTGTGTAAACTACATTGGACATGACCTCGATGTCCTCAAGCTACTGGCCCTGAAACGCCTAAATACACCCTGGTTATAGTATGAGAAGGTGATGATCTCACTTTACAGTTTGTGTTTCTGTGAGCATGTCCCAGTTCGCTGTACATCTGGGTGTGGCCAGAGGTTCCAGTGTCATCATTCTGGAGCAAACAGGGAAGAACAGTGGATACAGAGACAAAGATGTGCGTGGCTTCTGTCCTGAAAGTCACTGCTGTGTGGAAGGAGGACCACAGAAACTTGACTCAGTCCTTAACATGAGGGCCATCTCCAAAGACTTCAAACAAGCAGGGAAGGATGTCATTTATTCAAGAGATGCTGGCAGGTAGACATCGGTTTCCTGCCATAGATTAATTGAATTGGATTATATCTGTGGTTCCTGCACTGTGTTGACAGACACTCAATAATATGAGATAATGCTTGTCTTCCTCTCAGGTACCTGTGTGATTTTGCCTATTACTGCTCACTGTATCACGGTCAGAGGAGAGCAGCCCTCATCCATTTACCCTCATCTGGCAGCCTGACCTCAGCTGACAAACTGGTGCCCCTGCTGCAGACCCTCATTCAGACCATGCTTGACCAGCTGGAGGACCCTCCAGAAAGAGCATGAAGAGATGATGACAGCGCGCTTCCTCGAACCAGCGGTCAGCGAGGTCGATCTTCTGATGAAGACATTTCACATGACATAGACGCACATTACAGACCATAATCACTGAATGACGGGGATGAGGCCTCAGAGGTAAATAAATAGCAAACATAGTCTTATAGTTCTCATTCATTTATTTATTCAAAATTTCAGGGGAAAAAAAAGAAATACAAGAGATTTTCATACACATTTGAAGATGGCATTTTAAAAAATACACCATCTCAGCTATAGATGTGAAAAAATGTTGAGGCCTCAGATACAGATCTTGAAAAAAAGACTAGTGAATTTTTTTTTTTTTTTTTTTTTTGATTATTTCTTTCCCCAATCACGTAATGAACACAGAGATCTTGTGAAAGTATTGTAATAAAATAAAAGTAGTAGACCAAGGCCCCCTCAGAAGGTATAGGAATGCAAATAAAACTAAAAACAGAGGCATGACAATGATAAACCTCAAACTTATTATTGCAGTTTGAATGCACTGACGCATCCTCCATGAACCTGAGGTTTGCATGAAGAACATTCTGAAGAATTAAGGTGATAAATATGACTAAGTTGAATGTATTTTTTTTAGTTAGCTACTGTATATTTACGCAGCAATCTGGTAATGCAATAAAAGCAACTAGCGTGAAGCTGTAAACTTCGGCCTATCCTCTTTTTCTAATCATGTTCTTTACTCTTTACCATGACTACCCGTAATCTACGCAACATCCCTGTCCTATACATGTCCACGTGTTCAGCATTAATTCACCTCACAACAGGGCAATGTAATGTCTACTCTCAGAATTGAAAAGTTGAAATATATCATTAAATGTTGTATGTATTTTATCATTACATACATCCAACGGAGAAAAATAAAAATAAACGCACAGATATGTTAAGTAACTACACAAGCTGTTTGCTTGTCAGTGGTGATTTCTGTTACATTGTGATATTCAGCAGCAACCAGACTGTTTTTCAACCAAAAGATCGTTCACTCTGTTATTCTCTTAAATCATGCACAGAAAAAATGCTTAAGAAGAACCTAGATTGAGCACCCAGATTTCACATTAGAAGTTAACTAGTGGCCTATTTATAATATTCAAATACTCGTTTTATTATTGCTTTTAGGTATTAATTTCAACACGCATTTTATATCAAATGATTTTATACGCCTTCAGCCCAGAGGCCCTTGCACTGAGACAGCAGTCGCTAAGTTGCCACTGTAAAAGCTCCTTCACACGCCACATTTTTGATGACAATATAAGATCCACTGAGGTGACTGTTTGAACCAGCAGCATTAGTGTAAGTAGCAGTACATCAGGAGTGTTCAGTTCACTTTCAGATGATCAAAAAGCCAGAAAATGGTCACTAAGAGACTCACCCTGACGACAGTGGAGATTAGCTATCACTAGAGCTAGAACGACATGGCATTCAGCAGGTAGACTTGGACAGGGGAAATGATGCCGTTCACAAAAACACATAGTTTACAGGGTAAAAAAAGAAACTCTGAAATCGAATCCAACATTGACTGATGAACGATTGAAAATTGCCCATTTAGGACTGAAGGCCGAAACATGTAGGTGGTGGAGTTGCTGCTAACTCTATAAAGGTTTTGTGTAGAAAGTACGGAAAAGTTCTTGTTACATTCACAGTACTGATCTACACATAACCGAATGTATTTTGAAAGTGTGAATGACCTCTGTTTGGAATATACTGAAGCTGTGAGATGTGGGGTTGTGCTGCAACCTTGCAGCAGTACAACCTGCAGGTAGACAGCAAATACATTGTGTGTTGTTTTTCTTGGAGGTCAATAAAAATATTTTCCCTTTTTTAAATATTCCCCATTATAACTGCTTAAACTTCTATATAAATGCATTTTAGGTGAGAAAAGGAAGGTTTCTGTCTTTTGAGGATTTGACGTTGTGACAATATGTTGGGAGTCAGTGGAGATGGAATGTCTGATGTTGATGCTGATGATGCACTGGCCTCTCGTCTTATGTCTCGCGCCACGCCTACTCTAAGCCTAGTTGTAATGTAAACTATTAAGTGAAATTATTGTGTAGGTTGCTATAATTCTGTAATATTTTCTCACATAAATACCCAACAACAAATTTAAGTGATTCTGCAGAGAACAAAACCACACGGTACTGAAGGCTGCTACAAGCAGTCCTTTCCTTAGCATTCTCTGAGGTATAAATTTACTTTTTGTAATTTAGTGGGCCAGCAATTAGTGGGCTAGTGAACTTACCACACCTAAAACCTCCACACAAATATTCCATCTCCTTTCCTAGTCCGCTTTGTGAGGTTAATCTAGATCCCTGTGGGTTTTATCCAGATAATGAGGTTTCTAAACTGATGAGAAAGCGTGAGATGTACTTTTTTTCCATTCGCATACATATATTTAAAAAGAGTGAGGTAGATATATACTTGAAGGAGAAAAAAAAAAGTTTTTAAGTCCCCCAGTCATGACACCAAAGAAAATACATACAAAAAAAATCCAACTTTATACTGAATCATGGGGCATGAATACAGTGATTTAAACTGATATCACAAAAGGAAAATTAAAAAAAATAAATAAATTACACTCCTACAGGAAAAAAAACTTCAAAGAAAAGGGGGAGGGGGGGTATAATAATCACCAGGCAGCATTTCCAAAATTTGAGGAGAAATCCCTCAAAACACCTTGACTACCCAGTCTCCATTTTAAGACCTTTTCCATGATTGAAATGTGTTCCCTTCCCTGGACTTTTAACCCATCCTTTATTTGGTTTTCAGAAGCAGTGATTGTGAAGACAAACAATAAGAACTGTTATCACATTGAAGAAGTAACATTAGCAGAAGTGGGGTTGTATTGCACTTGAGTGCTGATGTAATAAAGAGGGGGAAAAAAAGAAAATAATTTTAATGTAATTTTAAATGGTCGAGAGATGGTTGGCATAACTAAGGTAAACAAGATAACCCAATTAGCCCTATTGAGTCAAGGAGAGGCAGGAAATGGATGGGTTAAAATACCAGATCTGGTATAGTAAAGTAAATAACTTGTAAACTGCAACTAATTCTTACGTCAAAAAGGAGGTACTGGGGGGGGGGGGCAGGTACAGTATGTTACAGTAGAGGGCAGTGAGGGGCCAGCGGGAAGGAGAGAGAGGGCACTACTTGAATCAACAAAGCATGATGGAGGGGAGGACAACGGGGGATGGACAAGCAGAGACAAGTAGAGGACGATCATGAGAATGTGTGGAGAAAGCAAAGCCTTTACTTTGACCTGAGATTGAGTTGCACCTAGAGGGCAATGCTAGGCGCAGTGCTAGACAACACATAGAAAAAGGGTGCAGGGAGTATACACTCACATATCGACCTAAGGTGTCCATTCCAAATAATTATAATAATAATAATAATAATAATAATAATAATATACATCCACAAAACAAATACAGGAGGAAATATTTCATAAAAATAAAAAGCAATGAGCTAAATATAGTGTTACAGAAAACCTTTTGGGCAACAGAAAAAAATGGTTTTATCTAAATCATCTTATTTTTTTGTTGTTTTATTTAAATTTTTTAAACAGAGTTCAAAGATATTGAACTGTAGTAGAAATGGACTGTAGTGGAGATCATAAAATACCAAACCTGAAGGATTTCTTAATATATATATATATATATATATATATAATATATATATATATATATCATCCAAAAGAGAAAAAGAATAAAATAGCAGCTTTGTTCTGTACAGACATAGAGGCAAACATTTTGAACCGTAAAAAGGTTTAAAAAAGTGACAAAACCAATGATGTGTATAAAAACAATCCTGCAGTCTAAAATACAACTGTAAGACCTTTATATGTGTTTGAAATGTACAGAAACTAATGACTATCCCAAGAGACCTGCTGTGTGTAAAGTTGTCTCTAGGCTTCTGAAATCCGATCCAACACCTTCTTGTTTTCTGTCTCAGGTTTGCGACTCTGTTTGTTTGTTGTGGTGTATGTGGTGCCATTTAATTTGAACAGCAGTTAACCTCCCACATGAAATTCACGCTGTCAGATAAAGTTTGAATAAGTGAAAGTGGAGGCAGAGTCGTATCCCCTGATAGTGAAATTCAGTGATTTGCAGTGTGAGACTTATTGTATGATGTCTTGATGTTTTGTTTTTATTAAAACGAAGACAGACTGAGGCCGTGATTCAGAGTTGTACTTCACCTCAGATGTTCAAAAGATGGAAGCGATGAAGTGGAGCGTTTTAGTCTGGATGGACTGGTGGTGCAACAGAACATTTTGGTAAGCCCATCACCAGCAACAGCTTGCTGGCTTTTCAAATGTTATTATATGGAAACCATAGGGCCGCAATGAATGATTATTTTCTTGTCAATTATTTGATCAACTATTTGGTATATGAAGAATGCCCATTTCTGCTGCATTTCACTTGTTATTATTTGGGTGTCCAATGTACACAGTTGATCATAATTCCCAGAATAATTATGCTTTATGCCACAAATATGGATTTTAAACTGGTACATTTGTATATCTAAATATCTTGTTGTCATCATGTAATGGTATCGACGGGCTAGTGGTTACTTAACTACATAATGTTTAATAACTGTTGGTTATTATCAAGAACCCAGTTGTTTGTACAAATAATCATCTTAAGATACTGATAGTGTCATTTGATTTGAAAAGAAACATTAACTTTACATTTTAGTTTAGTTCAGTGTTTTTCCTCAAAATATCATTAGGCTTGCTAGATTTATTACACACCCAAAGCAGACGCTGCAAATTCTGAGAAAACCTTGACTGCAGGTGTGAAAGCAGCCGATCTCAACAGTAACACAGTATTCTGTCTTGTTATGACCCCACATAACTGCTCCAGGAGCAGCAATAAAAAGAAGCATGAAGTCTGAATACATTTCTGGTATTATTTTGCAGACTTATCTCAACTCTGAATCACAGCCTTAAACAAGAAGGTAGACCTGTGTGAAGGTGAAGAAATGACTTGATTTGGCAATAGTTTGGCAGATACACAATAGGCCCTCTTCTTCCATTTTGACACGCTCCTGACAGGATCTACACCCATAGAAATATCAACAGGAAAAATGAAACAATGATAAGAGGCATCCTCACATGACATGAGCCAGTCCGCCCATGCAAACAAGTCATTTTGATGGAAAGTCATTTAGAAATGGAGCTATACCATAATATAGAGAGAATCACGTGTTTGTATAAATACACACTCAGATATCCACAACATCCTCTCTGAAATCATCAGGAAAAAAGTGCTCTTCTGTTGGATTGCTGGCAGATATGCTAAAAAATGATTTTCATTTCATAATCTGTAAATCAGGACACATGCCTGTATCGTGTTTCCTTTATGAAGGACTTCTGTAACAAACTGAAGTACAGGCTGCACATGAAGGAGTTCCCCAGTGTCTGAGCAACCAAACTCCAAAGTCTTCAACAAGTGTCTGTGCTGTTTTTCAGTTTTTAGACTTTGTGTTTGACCTTTGAGGAGTGGACATACCATCTACTGGCACACAGTAGAAGAGAGTCATTTCTTACCTCATCCATCCCTCCTAAAGTGATGGAGGAGAGGTTTGTGTTACCCTGTGTGAGAGGAGGTGAAGGAGGAGGGGCTGGTCTGATATCAGCAGGCCGACGACTGGGGCAGTGGTAACGCCCGCTCGTTCTTTCTGCCCCCATTCATGTGTGCATAGGGTTGCATCTCGTCAAAGTTGGGCCGCAGCACCACCACAGGCCCGTTGGCCGAAACATGTCCTGAGTGCTTGTCCAAGGCTAGGCTTGGAGACGCCAAGGCCGAGGCAACCTGCCCCGGGGAGGAGGGTGGCACAGGTCCCAATAATGGAGTACTTGGGCCTTGCATGGGGGATAACTGCTGGGTAGAAGGAGGCGGCGTGCCTCCTGTACATCCTGATGAGGGGGCAGCGGCAGCACAGGGCTGCCTGGTGGATGCAGGGTCCAAAGGAATGTTCTCCATGTTTTCTACCTCCATGTCCAGCTCCTCAGTGTCCGGCGGCTTGTTCTCCTCACTGTAGAAGAAGCTCATTTCCCTGAAGGGAGGATCCAGTTCGTCCTTGATGCTGCTGATGATCTCCAGGAAGGACGGACGCATCTTGGGGTTATACTGCCAGCACATCCTCATCAGCTCAAACCTGCGAGGGACGTACAAAAGAGAAAAGGGTTAGTAATGTACAGCCAATTATTCATTTAGGTGGATTTTCTTTTCTTTGTTTAGCTTTTATTAAACCTAAGAAGACCACACGCCAACTTTATTTGAGCTTACTATAGACTGCCAAAGCCTCCAATAACCAAGTAAACAAGAACTCTGGATTTTGTCTCTCCATCTCCTGAATGTAATTATTCTAAGAAGGGAATACTTCACAGCCAGTATGGACAAGAGAAATGATTATAGCGGTAACATCTCTTTTAGTGTACATATGGGCATGTATGTATTGTGTTAAGACAGACTTTTAAAAAGTGTGTAGCTATCCTTCATGTTTCTCACCAGCAGGTGGCAGGACATACTCAAGTTTAAGCCCATTTCAATACTCTGGCACTAAAACTAAGTTCACTATATGGACCTTAAAAAAACAATGTAGACACAATTACATTAAGGTACATTAATATAGTACTGTAAAATAGACTAATACGCTGCAACTCGCTGGATTACTACTCTTAACTACAGTAAATATTTGACTTAACAGATGCTCTCATTCATTTTCCTGTCTGATTGGAATTTCATTCTGTGCCTAAAACCAAACAATAATAATAAAAGCATAGCGTCAGCCTTTATTCGTCACATTTTGTTTAAAAATTCTTTTGATCACTTACAAATACCTGCCCTTATTCCTTGGACTTGCTGACTAATTTCATACAGGTTTGTTGTTGATAGATAGTCTGCTAACTATCTAATTTAATACTGTCCAGTGAAATGCTACATCAGCTTAATGTCCCAATCATCTAGTTAACTAGTAGCAACAAGACTTTTAAATACATGTATTAGGTAAATTCAAAAACTTTATTGACGGCAGTTTAAATGAGACATTTAATATTTGGATGCATTTTATTCATTGCTACATTACAACACACAGTGAGATCAGTAATGTAGCACGTACTCGGCAGGACAGTAAATCATACATAAGGTTACTGTGCCAGGCCAGCAGCCGAGCTTTGGGAATGTCAAAACAACTTCATAAAAGGGAGAATTATTACAGTTTTGTGTGGTGCTACACCACACACCACAACTTCAATTATACACAAACAAGCTAAGAATACTCTGTAAGGCCCGCTGACATAAACACCTTGGTCATCTCTCCTCCACTCTTGTTGTTCCCTTTCTCTTGTTTTCTTTCTCTCCCAGTGGTCTCTTTGTAGCCTACAACAGCCTCTGCAGCTGGGTGCCAGCTCCTCTCTGCACAGAGGAATTATGGGTAAAGCTCTCCTAAACACGTGCCTGCTTCACACTCATGAAGCAGCAGGGGAGCGGCTCAGGCTTGTTTTTCAGCAGCACAGAAAGTGTCTTAAAGTTGACGTTAAGATGTCCTAACCCAGGCAGCAGAGACCTCCAATGAAAGGACGTGTAATGCTTGAAGCTGGGCCAATGCTCCAGGGTAACCTGTCTGCATAGTCCTGCCTGTTCTTCGTACTCTTCCCCCACCATCTGTTGCTGCGCATACAGCTTGTTGATGCAAATTTAGAAAACAAACACTGCAGTAAATCTTGAGTTCTTGTCAGCATCCTGCCAATCATGGCACACACAGACACATACTATTGCTATTGAGATAAACTGACGTATATCTGAACTGTCATCAGTGACGTTAGCGAGATGTAACAGCTGACAGGAATACATGAGATGTACTGCATATGTACTGTATAAGAACAACTCACCTCATTCTTCAGTTGAAAAGAGCTTCTCAAGGTCAAACAACAATTTCTGTTTCACTTTTTGTTGTGTTTTTTTACAGGGAGGTGTGTCTTTTTCACTTGTGTTTCATTTACCTGTTCTTGCACATTTCAATTCCATGTTAATAACCCAGATGTGCTGTTTAAATAAAGCCTTACTGACTGAGCTTCAAATTGTAAGCAACCTTTGGATGATCAAGATGGCACCTCACATGGCTGCCTCAGTTCTATGCTCTCTAATACTTCTTATGTTTTTGTTCTGTTTAGCTTGATATCTTCGTTCAGCTGTACGTCTGCGTCGGTATCATCCTGTAAATTTGTCCCCTGCACTGTCTTTAAATATAGTTAGGGCTAAACCGTAGTCAGATCCCTTTGTGTGTGTCAACATACTTGGCAAATAAAGCTGATTATGAACTTTTGTGTCACATGAAATTTGGAGCCAGTCATGCTTTTATAAAAAAAAAAATCTGCACTAGTCTAGACACAGCCAAAATTTCACCAGACTAAGAAACTGAAAGACCTTGAAACAGACACACTCTGAGGCCAAGTGTGAGTGCAGAGCAGTTTCCAAACATCTATGGTAAATGTTTAATGCATCTGAACAGGAATATCTTGCAACATAACTGCAAAATGTCACACTTGCAACAGTGTGGTGAAACCTTGATGTACAATAGCACTGTTAATGATACTGCACATTCCACATTAAATCAGGATGTTCAATATGATCAGAGTCTGTATTTCATTTTTGCCCAACCCAGCGAGAAAGAATGCACTTTTGTCTATAGGAATCTCTAGACAGAAACATGGGAAATCCAATCAGTGAGCCACAGCTACCTGACCCTGGGAAAGCCAGTACAAGGAAGAGACATTCAAAGCTCTCCAAATATGACTCATCCCTCTGTCTGTTATCCTGCGCACCTTTCTTCTTGTATCTTTCTATTCAGTCTTTGTATGCCATTCTGGCTTCACTACACTTCAGCAGTCTTCTGGAAATCTCCATTAAGTCACTACAGCAGAGGCGACGAGCCACAGCAGACTGGCTTCCCTGTGTGTTGCTCACAGACCAGGAGGCCCCCCACCCACCACCACCACCACCACCTCTGTAACACAATCCACACACTCCTGTAATCAGGACAAAACAGTCAGGCTGCCATAGAAACCAGAGGTTTGTGTCTGCACAACACTCGGCCCCCTTTTTTTTTTTCTCGACTTGCACTCTCTTTCTAAGGTGAGGTCAGCCGTGGAGAGTGGGAGGGGAGAGCGCAGAATGCCTTCTTATTGAGGTCAGAGAGGAAGAGGACAAATCCATATATGAAGCGCTGCATGCTGACAAGCAGGCTGGGCAGTGTTTTCTCTAACAGCCAGGGTGATTCATTTATTAATTATAAATGAATTAATTAAATTCTTTCCCTGTCCCTCTCATTCGCTTTTGCTGACAGACAGTCAACACCTCCCCTCCTCATGCCCGTTCTCAGCAGCAGGAATGAGGGGCATCTCTCACACACGGGTCGTGGCATCCCTTCTATGGGCCGACGCTGACGGGTGAGGAGCCTTCTCACCGCCAGCTGACCACCGGGACCATGTCGTCAACGGACCACATTTAACCTGTGACGTTAATGTCGGGCCTCATCTTGGCTCTACCTTAGCGTACACACCCACATGATATCCTACACACTTAAAGCCACAACTTAAAATAGATGCTGGGCAAAATAGTGGGGACCGAAGGCGTGCAGGGCAGTGGCAGTAGGGGATAAAACAATACATCCTTCAAGGGTGGTGGTAACAGAGACCTGACAGCCCTAAAATGGGTGAGATTATACAGTTACTGATCACTGAAATAAGGAGACTTACAGCATGTCAGGGCAGTTGTCAGGTTTGTCCAAGAGTCCTCCCTCCATGACAAAGCGCAGAACTTGTTCATTGGACATGCCCTGGTAAGGCTGCTCCGCTAAGGTGGCGATCTCCCACAACACGACACCAAATGACCTGTGGTAAAAAAAACACATGATCCAACAATTTTAAAAAACATATTTACATTTTTCCCTCTTAGCTGAGGGTAATTCAGTGCTGCGTACATTGAGCGTAACAACAGAAAAGGTGTAAGAATCCTGTAGTTGAGGCCACCAAGCACAGCAGCTATTTTTACTTTTCAATAAATCTTACATTTAAAGGACTAAACTAGTGTTTCTGAATTGTCCTTTCCTAGCATGTGTCTATTATAAGGTATGTAGTGCACACCAAGTCTTTTTGACAGGTGCATGGGATTGAAAAGTCTTTACTGTAAAGACACCAAACGATGCAACACAAAAACACTTATTATTGATGTTTTGGTCCACTGACCTTCATCCGATAAAATTCACTTATTAATTCCTTCATTGAATTGTATTTGATGAAGGTCTGAGGGCCAAAACATCATTAATGAAGTGAGCACAAGTGGTCGACTGTATGCAGAATGTGGTTTCTTCACTTTCCCTCTTATTCCAAATCATCAATCCATACAACATACCTTTCATTTAGTGCAAACCATCTTTCAAAGCATGCTGTAATAATTTTGATTTTTGAATTGTGTTTTTCCCACCTTTCAGGCAGCCAGTGGATTCTTTTTTCTTCACTAAAATGGTGAATTACTTGAGTTAGGTAATCCATAACAGTGAATATAATGTCTGCCTTTGTCAGGAACATATACCACACAACATCTTGCATTACCACAAAGTGACCAAAGCTTGTTGTGGAACAACTGATTAATGCTGCTTTAAATACTACAACTTTAAATAGAGTATATATATATATATATATATATATATATATAATCTAGAGTATAAGTAGCCTGTCAACTAAAATCTAATGGTCAGAGCAAGAGCAACATTTACTGAGATGTTGGAGACCGATATGAGAGCACTCAGCAGATATGTCTCCTTATGTTATCTACATCATGTTTAACCTAAAACCTGGCAGGCTAAGTGTTAGGAATAATGTGAGCTGTGTATCAGTGTACCAGTCAGTGAATCACAATTATTTACTGCAGGACATACCATAGTATAAATTATTTACAGTAAACGTCACCTCAATTTAACCTTAAGCTACCTTGCACTGAGATTACTTTGAAACTATTCATGATCTTGACTAACAAAGAACACAATATTTGTTCACTCTTGCTAGTCATATTTTCACCACTGGCATGAGTCTATGAAACAGCCTTATTACAACACTGCATATAACTGGCTGGAACAGTCTCGTGCTGACAGACAAAGCCACATTCAGACAGCTTTCCTTGATCAACAAAATAAAAGTCACCTACTTGTGGATTCCTTAAGGAGCCCAGAATGGGTTTGTCTTACATTAACTTCATCTGTACAACATCAAAGAGGAAGATATAGCACACAAATGTGGAGGTGGGTTTGTGCTGGCACTGCAACCTATCATTTGAGAACATCTGGAGCAGTTTAAACCCACTCTTAGGAACTGACCCGTGGGACATTTTGAGTTGGGAAACAAAAACTTGCAACGGAGCTAGTAAACACTTAAACACTCTTTCTCTACAACAGTATTGCTCCAGAATGATAGAAAAATGTGGCAAAACTGTAAGCTGAGATTTCACCGCAAGCTGGCATAAAAAAAAAAGGTGTTGGTAACAAAAGATGTATCTTGTTCTATACTCTATCACGGCGAGAGGAATTTGCAGAGAGCCAGCTGGAAACCATAATTTGGTTTTGGAAAGTCATAGCTGTATTGCATACACAGCGAGGATAGAGGGCAGGAAATGCATGTTCACACTGTTATGTAAAGAATGTTGGTAAGAATATGGGCCTTGAGGTGATCTATATGTTTTTATAGTTCTGACTCCACAGCCTGATCTGTTTTAGCGTATCCACACGCAGAAAGACACAATATGTAGACATTACTGGAATACTTTGCGAGCCCCCTGGATTAGGGCAGGTTTAAACATGTATAATGCAGGCTTGTGAGTGTGTGTAAGAGAGTGATGTGTTCTCATACCAGACATCAGACATTGTAGTGAACACGCCATCTTTCAGCGACTCCGGCGACATCCAGCGGACAGGCAGTAGGCCCTTCCCTCCTTTTCGATAGTAATCCGTTTCGTAAATATCTCTGGTCATGCCAAAATCTGAAGAGAAAAATGAAAACATAGGTTGGGGAAGCCACTAAAGATCACTCATTCTGTGTGGGAGAGGAAGCTCCTGAGAGCTCGCTCAGCCATTCCCTCAACTCTTCCCTCCCTCTGTCCATGTACATTAAGACTCCACTGCCTCAGGCACTCACTGAAATCCAAACACATTTTTCGTGGCCAGTAGAGTAGGTTCAGCGCCGATCTACCAGGGGAGGTTGAGGGCATAGTATTAACTTGACTCACCTCCAATCTTCACAGTGAAGTCCTCAGCTACCATGCAGTTCCTGGCAGCCAGATCTCTGTGGACAAATTTGTTGGCATTTAGGTACGACATGCCGTCAGCAATTTCCCCTGCCATCTGGATCATCTTTTTGAGCGGGGGTAGGACCTGGCTGGTGGAGATCTGTGGCAGAGTGAGAGGGGGATGAAGCGAGAGGGTAAAGGGCTTGAAAAAACACTGTTTAGTCATTATTTTCTGCTTTCCACAACACTGGGCTGTGGTCACAGTTCAGCATTACAAAGTAAGGGATGGATGCTGTGTGTGGAAATGTGCATGTGGGTGTTGGAGAAAGACGGAAAAAAAGGGGACAAGATGTGTGTATGTGTTCAAACATTAGCATGTATGTGTATGACAATTCTTCACCTATTTCTGTAAGAGAGAGACGGCGTCATTTATAGAGACAAAGTCTGTGTGTGTGTGTGTGTGTGTGTGTGTGTGTGTGTGTGTGTGTGTGTGCGCAAGGAAAAGCTGCTTACTTCTTTGCGCAACGAGCGCAGGTGGCTCTTGAGATCTCCACGGGTCATCAGCTCCATTATCACCAAGGTTGGCTGACCCTGAGAGACCACGCCCAGCAGCCGCACCTACACCAATCACAAAACAGCAGATGTCAGGTGGGATCAGTCCATATCTTTGTCTCAAATCCAAACCACACATTAAATCTAAGCAGGTTTTGAGCATGTAGTGTGTTCGTACAGGAAAAGTGGCAAGATAAAGTACACTCTAAACAGTCAGTAAGCACACTAAAAAAAAAACATTTCTTAGTACATTATTGCGTGTGCTGTTGATGGATACATTTCTCCCACAATGCAATGCACCAAGGAAATGTAGCAGCTGCTCACAGCTGGAATAAAAACTAACTACAGATGGTGGTGAAGCAACTCCAGGAACACCTCAGAAAACAAAGAATAACTATTATATTTTTGGAACATTTGACATCTGTCAGTGAAGTTTAACTGGAAGTGGCTGTCTAAAGTCAGTTTGATTAATGTCTGATGGCGGATGTATTGCGTCATTTCCTGTTAATATAAAACAGTTAATTATGTAAATTTCATCATACTAATAGTACTAAAAGTAGGTAGTAAAATAGGAATCTAGATTATAAGTAAAAACTGTCACATATATTTTTATTAGAAAAATGTGGTTCCCTTTAACTTGCTTTGAAGATTATATCTTATCCTTTGAATTATTAAAATTAAATTTAATAATTGTGTGTTTGGCTATTTAGGGTTAGACTTTATAAAAATGTTGTAACAGCAGCTTTCCAAAGGGAAAATCTTTAACACATCTGTTTAACGTAGTTAATGAGGCTGTGATCAATCTGAATGTAGTCTCCAGGAGGCTGAACCCTGCCTCTTGCTGCCTGACTAAAGACAACCACAGTGTTCTCAGCACTTCTGACCTGCTGACACTGTTCACTCTGCATCTATGCAGATTAATTAGGAAGTCATAATTGAGAGCACCGTCCTGCAACTGGGTTCAACATAACAACGTGTTAGTTTTTTTTAAGCCATATTGTGATGATTTATCTGCAATTACTTCAGGGTTTTCTCACTCGGGTGCCTCATGGTAACTATTTTAGGCCGAGGTCCCTCTTACCACATGGTGACAGTTGAACTCCTTCATGACAGAGGCTTCGTTCAAAAACTCAATGCGCTCCCTCATGCTGGCTGACTCATTGACTGTCTTGATGGCCACTCGTGTCTCAGGTTCGTCCTTGACCACTCCCTTGGCGATGCCTTCATACACCATGCCAAAGGAGCCCTGGCCCAGCTCCTTGTGCATCGTGATCTTCTCCCTGGCCACCTCCCACTCATCCGGGACATACACTGGCACAACACAACAGACAGCAGGTTAAAAACCACATACACACACCAAATATAACAGTGAAAAAAATAGAGAAGATATTCAGTATTCTTACTCTCAGCAGCGCTGAAGTACTCCGGGTTGACAGACGCATAAAGGACTCCATTCCCCAATCTATCGCTATTCCTGTTGACACAAAGACGGCCAAGTTAGTCAGCAGACAGCTCTGATTGTGGACGGGATGAGTAATTAGCTATTCTTTACCACAGGGGAAATGTTAATGAAAACAACACCTATTAACTCTAATTATCATTACACTGGTCATTAAGTTTCACAAGCATAGTGAGGTAGAACAACATTATCAAGAGACTTTGTCTTGACTATGGAAAACAAGTTCATAAAAGATACTTTCCTCTTTTTGTTCACAAAGAAGAGAATTGTGGCGAGGCTGGCAATGAAAAGTGTCACTATGATGGGAATTATGATGACCAAGTACAACGTTACACCATCTTCCCCTGTCAGAACAGAAAAATTCAAGTTATCAGCATAGGTGTCATTTCTTATCTACTTTACTACTTTAAAGTGAAATTGTCAAGATTTAATGTGTTTCATTACGTTTGGGTGGAAGCACGTAGAAGGACACACTCTCCGTCCAGGAGCCGTTCCCCGCTAGTGAAGTGGCGCGCACACGAACAGAGTAGTTCCCTGAGCCCAGGTTGGTCAGCCGAGCTCCTCTCTGCTCGCGGTAATGCTGCCGCGACACACACTCGTGCTTCTCAGGCTGAAAGGAAACAAACGCATTGTGGTTACTCTTTGAAAAAAGAATGAAATGAAATGAAGAGTCAACACTCTGGGTCAGGTAAGGAGTGTAAAACTGAGTGTTGTATGCTCTGTTTTTCAAAAAAAATGTTTAAACCAGTATAGGGCCGCTCAGATCTATCACTTATAACCACTAATCTACCACTCAAAAGTGTGTTTTGCTTCTTGTTACTTCACTTGGATGTTTGAGCTTCACTGTGCAGAAGAGTTTTTTTCTTTGTGCTCACCTTAAATCTGAGTTTATTATCTTTCGTCTCACAGATAAACTTTGTTAATCAACAATATTTACATATTCATAGATTCTGGATTTTTCAATAATGAACAAGTAGCAGATGTCGTTTTAAGAGTCTGAGAAACCTGGCTCACCTCATTCCCCAGACGGAACTTGATCTCATACATCAGGATGAGTCCGTTGGGCCTGATGGGCTCTGGCCAGCGCAGCACCACACAACCCTCAACTTTGTCACTCCTCTCACAGATCACCTTTCCAGGGATGTCATCTGCTTTGTCTGGTAATCACAAACACACACACACACACACACACACATACACAATATTATAACAAGAACGTGTCTCTAATGTGCTGTAAGAGAAGGCATTACAGTAGACTATACAGTGCCACATTTCCATGAGAGATTGTATCTAATTTCCAACCTGCAGGTTTGGTCCTGGAGAAGACAAAGGCTCCAGCGCTGCAGCGCCCCACCTCCTCATTGCAGGCATGGATGTCAATACGGTAGACAGTGAATGGCTCCAGGTTGGGGATCTCTAAAGATTCTGCTGTGCTCTTTTCCTGCGAGAAGGTGTCATTTGTATAAGGAATGCCATCTGTACTGTTATCCCCCAGGCCAAGGGTGGTGTTCCCTCTACCAACACCGTCAGGGAACAGTGTGTTGTTAGCCACTCCAAAAACATCTCTACGTCTACGATCTGGAGGTCTGAAATACAGAGAGACAAATGGATGCAACAGCGGTGTTATAACAGTGCTATATAAATAAATGTTGATTGATTGATTGATAGATAGTGAGCACTGTTATGACAATAAAAGACAAAAAGTTATAAAGTATGTCCTGGAAATCCTATTGTAACAAATAACTTTATAACTCCCAAAAGCATTTCACAGAAAGCTGAAGCATCTCGTTGAACCGGGTGCTGTAAGTGTGTGAGTGTGTGTGTGTGTGTGTGTGTGTGTGTGTGTGTGTGTGTGTGTGTGTGTGTGTGTGTGTGTGTGTGTGTGTGTGTGTGTGTGTGTGTGTGTGTGTGTGTGTGCGCCGTGTGTCCAGATGCTGCATACTACTCCCTGTGGAGCTGTGTGGAAGGATGAGGTCAGACAGAACACACGGGAGGTGGATAGACAGAGAAGGACAGACAAATAAAGAGATTTTTCCACACCAAGAAAAAAAAAACTTTCTGTCCAACATATTCCAATCAATCATAATGATAATGGAAAAAGTCTAAATGGAGAGACATTTGTGACACCAACATTCTGAACCAAACTGTTCAATCATGATGACTCATTTTCAGTAACCCAACCGGGAGGATTGCAATGAATGGACACGTGGTATCATGGTACATATGATAAGCTATCGAGCCACTTGGAGCTGGATATCGTCATTACTGAGGGCAAGCAGGCAGTGACAGCTGTGAAGCAGCAGACACACAGACACCACAGGGGAACATGCCTACAATTGCCTTTCACAGTTACCTGTGAAACCTACATGGCCTTCAGAGTCCTGGCTCTGAGGAGTTGGAAAATGAAAGTTGGATTGACAGCAGATGATAACAGGTCATAAACAGTGTAGGGAGCCTTTACAGAGCGCTTGCAAGGTGAGAAATGTTTAGGGTTTGTTTGGAAATGTAATGAAGAGAGCGTGAACAGGTGGCTAGGTTCAGATTACCACATATGAAACCGCTCAGACATGATTCAAAGTCTGTAGTGGGAATTAGGGCTACAACTAACAATTATTTTCATTGATTAAGCTTCCGATTTGGTCAATCAATTGCTTTGCCTATAAAATGTGAATAATGCCCATCTCACTTTCCTGAAGCCCAAGATGACCCCTAAAATAGCTTTGTTTTATCTGACCAACAGTCCAAAACTCAAATATATTCAATTTACTATCAACTAAGTGGGCACCTGAGAAATGCTGGCATTTTGCTTAAAAAAATGACTTATATCAATTATTAAAATAACTGCTAATTATTTTTCTGCTGATCCACCAATCGTTTCAGCTCTACAATGGGTAATAAATTGTTAAACTAAGAGCCCTAACTGAGGAAAGCTACAGTCAAGCATTTTGTGTCTGAGAAGACACAGACCTAAAGGAGCAGTGTTCAGACACAGACAGATCTGTGGGAAAGACCAGTCGCACTCACATGTCAACATTCCTCACTGACAGTTGCAACTGGTGCAGTACAATCCAAAGTCCAGCACTCAGAAACTGCTACGGTTACTGCTGAAAATGCATAAAACTGGCAGGAGAGTAAAGTGTAAAGACACAGATGCATGAGTCTGATTTGCACTGAGTAGTAAATATTGAGCTATCCTGTACTAAAAGCGATAGAGATTGATGGACCCCATTGAGAGGCCAGATGAAAGAAAGTCTGAGGGATCTAATTTCTTTACGTGCAATAAAAGTGTTAGGGGTAAGCAAGGCAGTCCAAACACTGTGAGAAAGCTCTTCAGCTGACTGAAGCATGACATTATAACTCGTGAGTTACTACAGATAGTGTCCTAACCTCGCCCACTAAAAAAAGATCTACCTTTATGCAATGGAATCCAGAGAGGAAAGCTGTGACCACACATTTAGTCTGTGACAAGTAGGGCACATTATTAGCGCTTGGCCTTAACTGCAGCAACACATACTGCACGCTCACATAGATGAAGCAAAGATCTCTGAAGGAAGAAGCTTTACAGTCCTTATCAATTCTTGTATTTAGCAACAGCAAGTTGATTACAGTAAATAAATGATCCAGTTAGCTCATGACAGGTTTTGGATCGTACCATTAGGTCTCCTAAACAGACACTGGCAGCCATCCTCTTTGTGTGGCCTCCCCACTCTCCTCCAGTAAATCAGTCTGCCTTCCTTACAGTACTTTCTGTTTGTCTTCTATCGCTGATGGGGCTCTTCCCTCGTTCATTTAAATTCCAGATGGATTCACTGTACATTTCCTGGCAGCTGTCTCGCTCCAGAAAAAAAAACAATCCCCCCCCAACAAAAAACGAGTCCCGGACAAAGACAGTGTGCAAGGGGAGGAGGAGAGTGGAGTGGCGGGTGGAGGGGGACAAAATAGAAAACACTTCCTCTTCTTTCTGTTTCTGTTTTCACCCGCCCTCTTTCCCCTCACCCTGGGTCTAAACCTTGAACTTTTGAAAAAACCTCCCCCATTTCCAAGGCCTTTGAGTGGTTTGTGATAATGCTGGCTCTGTTACAGTGAGTCTGTGTATACACAGGCTGAGCCCTCTGCTGCAGGCCCGGGACCTGCCATTCGCCTGTTTCCTAGACAGCTATACTATAACAAATCAACACAGCCAGAGCGGGGCAGATATGAGTTCAATTACAATAGAAAGCAATGTTTTTATTATTTGTCCTAAGACATATCGATCCAATACCACAAGAGCACTGTGAGGGGAAACCGTAACACCGTTTGAATGACTAAACTTTGGAGGCTCAGAGCCATCGTTTAAAGCGATGGATTTATAGGATACATGCTGAGTGTTCTTAGTGAGAGGCAACAAGTATATCAAAGGACTCCATATTTTTAAGTGATGGATGGATGTTGGAGATGTGAGTGTTATGGCACCAATTCACAAATGCATAGATTGTGTGTGACTGTCTATATGAGAATAAAAGAGTGTGGGAGAAGAACAGAGCAGGAGTCTTTGAAACAGTGAAACATCCTTTGCCATGAGCAAGTTAAATGATAACACAACACAGATGTCAGTCCCTATTGTGCAGAACAAAAAGCCTAAACAGCTATGAGTGTGCAGCCAAACTAGGCCCTTCAGACTCCTTAATCACATCTCTCTCCTGGGTTTGTTTGTGTTGCCTAAACTGCTGCCGGCTAGGTCCTAACATCCCCCCCGTGCCACTATTGCCACGGCAACAGAAAGCCACAAGAGCGCTAAGAAGGCTTTGGAACGCACTCAGCATGTCTCCTCATCCGCTCCGCCCGACCAAAAGGGCCAAGCCCAGCAGGCTGGCTCAGCCTCCGTCAGGTCCATCTACGCCCCCTTGCTCGGATCCTGTCAACTCCACAGAGGAGCCATTACACCCGGGCCGCCACCTCATTCCTCATTTTCACCCATCAGAGCAAGCACTGTAAACAGTTTAAGGAGATCCCTGTGAAGCTGATATTATATCTCCACTCCATCTGTGGCTTACTATACCTTGGCAGAAAGATGGCATTGTGAAGGAAGTTCTCGAAGCGTTTGAAAAAGACGCGGTCATCCTTCTCCCGGTCCTTCTCCTCGGGCGTCTTCTGGCAAGCACAGCATTGGTTCTTCTCTGCCCCTGCCAGGTCTGACTTGGTGGGCTTGGTGTTCTCTTCCATGTCTGTGAGACCTGTGGCTGGGATACGAATCGGGATCTTCAGCTCTACACAAAAGAGAAACAAAGAGAGTTTAGCAACAGGAAGCTTTCTGCATTACCAGAGCAACTGCTTAGAATATTTTTGATAAATTTCCTGCATAGAGTTGTGTTTCAATATTAAATCTTAAATCAAAAGGGTAAAAATTACACATTTCCCCCTATTTCCAGTCTTTATGCTAAGCTAAGCTAACTTGCTACAGGCTGTCGCTGCATTTTAAATGTACAGTGTATCAAACAACTCATCTGACTCTCAGATAATAAAAACATGATTACTGTTGTAAAATGAGTAATGCAGACCTTTGGAGCAGTAGTTATGTTGGTAGAGCTCCCTGTCCTCAGGCTGCTGCTGCCAGCGGACCAAGTAGTAGGTCAGGTTGCCGTTGGGAAAGACTGGAGGTAACCACTTCACCATCAGCTTGGTTGAGGAGTTTGCATATGCACGGGGTTCTTTGGGTATAGACGGCACTGCAACAGGGCCAAAGTCATAAAATGTTAGTTCAAATGTTCACCTAGCTACATAGATTAATAAATGTGAAGGTTGCATTACCATCACAAGTAATTTACCAACAGACTTATCAAACTTACGCGATGGGCGTGTGCGAATGTAAATTATATCACTCTTTGCCCCAGAAATGTGTTTGTCCTCCACTTGCAGGGTAATGGCCTTCACAAAAATAGCATACTGGGTCCAGGGCTTGAGGTGTTGAAGAATGATTTTTGGGTCAGTGTTTTTATCCTGAGGGAAATCCACATCCACCAAGTGCCAGCTGTTTGAGCCACAGCCATCCTGGCCATCAAACTCTGTGATGTTCTGGAAAGGGCTGGCAAAGACACAAAATATGGCTGTGCATTGACAAAAAAGGACTTAAAATTACATATTCACCATTTACAAAAAAAATGACATATACTCCTACCAAAACAGATTGTTGTGTAAAAGTAAAACACGTTCTAGGTCACGTTTGAACCTCGTTTTGCATATTTAAACCTATTATTTACATTTACCATTTTCCAAAGCCTACCATGCAATATTTGATTGGTGACCTACCTTCAAGACAGCCATTTGTTTCCTTTTGTAACAGTTCTATTAGAAAATCTGACTGGTAATCAAACCCATGTCTCAAACAATAAGCTGACGTGAACATTGTGAATATGATGTTGTAAATTTGGTTTTGTTTTGCATTAGAAGAATTCTTCTATTGGTCCTCTCAAAAAGTGCCTCAAAGGCAAGAAATCAAACATTTTCTTTGTTGGCAGTAATGTGAAGTTCACACAGTATTGATTGGGGTAAGATATGCAAAACCAAACATATATGTGCATCTAAGATTTAGTTTTTTCATTGAAAGAGCTGAGATTTTGAGTGGAATTCTGTGTCTTTGTAACATTAAGTTCTGACTTTCAAGAAACGTGAGAAAAAAACCTTCATCGATACCAACTCTGCCTTAGTGAAGAGTTAATTTTATAATATGATAGTGTGTTTTGAGAATAATGAGTTGTTTGTACTTACGACTCCTTGTAGTAGACTATGAAGCTGATAAGGTCTCCGTAGTCCAGCGGCCGGTAGCGCTCCCATGCCAGCCTGATCGTATGACTTGTTGTGATGTTAGACTTGAACTTCAAGATATGACTTTCACCTGTTGTGACAGAGCAGGACCCTCAGTGAGACATACATGCCAAATTAAAAGAACTTTCCTGAAAAGAAAGATTACTTGCAACAAAAATGTAGATAATGTGAATATACTCACAGCTGGCTCTTTCACCATTGTTACGGAAGTCATCCTGCTCCAGCTTCCCATTTCTGCCCGTTTTTTCCCACATCTTGTGGATCTCGGACATGCAGAGTTTGGGGTTCAGACGGAAGAAGAGACGTCCAGCCCGAATAGTCAGGTTGTGCTGACTCCAGTCCCACAGATACTGCAGGTGCTGGTTGTTGATGGCGGAGAACGAATACATGCTGACAATGGAAGGAGATCAAGAGGAGGTTACAAACAAAAAATAGTTTTTTTCCATTATACATGTCTCATGGAAGCTGGAGTTGTCAGAAATGTGGTTAAAACAGCTTTTTTGCCACCTGGTGGCAGCAATAAGCAGTAATAGAGGTGGGAGTCAAATGAGTTCAGGTTTGACAATGAGCATGGGTTTATACAGACTAGAGGAGGACATGAAACAGTAAACGTGTCCTGCAAACACTCTGAGATCCAGCAGTCCAAGCAACGCAGCAGAACACCTTCAGAGCAAAGGGAATGTCTGCCACCCTTAAGAGCATTCCTCTGAGTGAAACTTTACCCTTGGAGAAACGACAACAAGAGGGGCGACAGGATTTCCCATGACCCCCCTGGTCATTACCAAAAAAAACTTTCCCTCATATCTAAGACTCCCGCTGATATATCACAGTAAAGGCAGATAGACCTGAGACTTTCCATTTAGCTTTGTAGCCACACTCACTTATCTGGACTGTCTGCATGAATTTGTGAGTCATTTTTAAATTAATAACTGGAAACAGAGTCACTAGACACTGTTGTATGTAGATTTACATTAATGTACACATCCACCACCCAGGGAAGACACTCCTTCAACAAGAAGTCACTCTGATGATATGTTGCGGTTTGATCATATCCTCTAATTCCTTCGGTCACCGCACACAAGCATGCGCACATTCACAGACAAAAAAAAGTGCAGACCGACGGAGCAGATAAGACATACTTGTCGATGAGCTCCTGCCCATTGATGTAACGCAGGCTCTTGAGGAAGGACAGCGAGCCAAGTGCGTGGGAGTGTCGAATCTTCACATAGCCCGTCACTGTCTGGATCAATCCCATGAAGTTCTCCAACTCAGACGCTATGTTATCTGAGGACAGGGGATAAACACACACAGACAGAAATATAAATCAGCATATGAAAGCCACATTATATAATCCACAGGGACCTCTACTGCTTCACCCTGACCAGCTCTTAATGCAAATGTCCCACTGAGCACTAAATTGTAGAAGCTTTTTTCATATGTGGAGATTAGCTTGTGAGCCACCCTGTCAACTGAGCAAATAAACAGCATTATAGCATAATGTGATAAGTGGGTTAGAGTGCAGGAAGCAGATGTAACGTTGATTTTGTGCATCCCAGCAGCTTAGACCACAAGGCTCTTCTACTTTATCTGTCTAAGTAATCACAACATTTGCTGGGCAGTCAAGTGCAAGATAGTGTAGTAAAGTTAGTATACTGTAGTGTAGTATGGTCTATTAAGCTAAGTCACACAGCAAAATTATGTATATGTAGTATTAAAAGCACTGTGCTTCTGCGTAGCTCCACTCACTTCCACGGCGGATGTTGATGTCCAGATTGCCTTCGATGACGGTGCAGTCCTTCAGGGTCTGAGCAGCATCCACAGAGTCGATGACAGGGGATAAGCAGGGCTTATCGCACGGTCCATCGCAGGCCTTGCATAACATACTGTATACAGCAGAAGCAGAGGGAAGGAGTGAATGAGAAAAAAAAGAGACATGGGGGAAAATTGTCAACTGTCAAAGTATGAGCAAAATCTTATGTGACCTTTTCAACCTCGCCCTGAAATCATTTGTCCACTCCCTAGCACCCAAGCATTCCAAAGGATTCAGGCAACTAAATTCACTGCATCACACGAGGTCACCTCTCACGCGGAGAGTTGAATCTTTAATGGACTCTGTTTCGTGAGAGAGTGACTCACTGTATTGACCTCAGAGACAAAACAGCAGCGATATGGCCAAGCAGCAGAGGGTCAGCGTGGAAAGCTTGGGAAATGACGAGACAAAACAGGGAGGAAAGTTGCATACAAAGAAGTTTTCCCATTCTAGGTTAATATCAAACAAAGGAAATGTCAAGTGGACATTTCAGCTGAGTCTCTTCTTAAAACCGTTAAGTATTATTCTGAACAATCAGCCAATGGTCAGTGTTAAAAACAAGGCACTATATTGAGCACCTTTCACTCTCTCTAAACAGTCTGGGAAGTCTAACTTGAATCGTTAATAGTCCAACGTGCTCTTAACCTCTAGCACTTCCTTGCTTTGAGACCACCTACTTTAAGAAAGAGACCAGGTCAGGTGATGTTCAGCTCAAGGATATTTTATGCAAATCAATTCATTTTGCAGAAGTACACAGTGACCACAAGTGGCTTAAGTGTCTGCAAATACCAAAGAGAAACCACACTGCTATTCACAGAATTTAGCCAAGAAATAATACTAGCACCTCTGGCTCTGGCTCTGAATGAGGTTACGATCCTTAACAAATTCGAGTACAGAACATTAAAGAAGAATACTTAAGCCTTGAGAAATCTTAATTTAGACATAATTTAACATCATTAGTTTAAGGAGCTCTTTCTAATATTTTGTACATTCAGTGTCACCTGGCATGGCATTGCCACAACATCAGGAGCTAAAATAGAAGTGAAGTGTCCGTCTTTACCGATTAGTCTCATTGCGTGTGAAGCCAGAGGGGCAGTCGGGCATACATTCTCCCCCGTGGATGACAAAGTGAGTGTCACCGGGCAGGTGCACTTGAGAGCACAGGTCCATGTTGATGCAGCGCCAGCCCTCAAACTTGTAAGTGCCTGGGGGACAGTCTGGCACACAGCGATCTTCGTGGTTGTAGTGGAGGCAGGCATAGCAGGCCATGTCGTTGTTGGGTTCAGAACAGCTGCCCAGGCACTGGCTGTGGCAACACTCCCCCATGTCTGTGCAGGCAAGCTTGCAGTGTTCTGGGCAAACTGGAGGAGACAGAGAAAGATGGGGAAGAGTCAGTTCCGGGTGGGTGTTAACAGTCTGCACTGCTGGATACCATTACAACAAAATGAAGGATGATAAAGGTTAAAAGATGCAAAACTAATGCGTATAAAGCACGGATTGGGATTTAAATGTTATTATCTGCTTGGTAGCAGACCAGAAAGCAAATAAATAGATTAAAGGTGTGTTGTCCAAATGTGTGTTTGTGTGAAGAGAAGAAGTGAAAAGGCCAGCAGGGCCACAGAGCTGAAAAGCAACGTCACAGAGGAACTGGAGTGCCAGCAGAGTTAAAAATCTGTTCCCGTTGTTCAGAGCTGGCCTCACTTAGTGTGACCACCTTTAGTATCATCTATTCTTTAAAAAATAAATTCCAGGTAGTATATTTACACAAATCTGCAACCAAGTTTACCAGTGGATTGTTTAGACAAAAAAATATTCTTCTCTAACAGAAGAAAAGACAATTGAAGCTCAAACAGAACGTTCACTCCCATAACTGCAGCTTCTAAGAACTAGTGAACGTCCTTCAAGGCTGTGAGAGAAAAAAAAAACAAATACTGAACAATTGTGTGTTTCAAATTAAGCTTGAGCAACAAGAATAATAGGAGCTCCTTGCTGTTCACTGAGCATCACAGAGAAACCAAAACCCATAAAAATATGTTATCAATAACACATAGCATTTTCCCCGTTCCTTGGGACAGACACATTGTACATTTGATCGATTGTGTATCTGGACTGCCAGACATATCTAACAGAGCGTATAAAATTACCATTAAATTATCAAACTTCAACTCCAGAGAATAAAATACAAATACTAAAAAACTTTGACACAGAAAAGACAAAAGTTATCAGGAAGCAATCATTCAGGTAACAAGACCCAAGGAATGAGATCAGTGCTTGATTGTAGATTAAGCAACAACTTCCAATAATCTCAGGCTTCATTCTAAAATTAACAGTGACAGCTGAAAATGGCGAATGGAAGGCGTCTGTTTTTAATGTTGAAAAGCATTTTTACTGTAGCCTATTAATAGAGGAACACTTCTGGAAAAGCAGATGTAAAGGGAAGAAAGCAGATGATTCCCACTGCGAACTAATCTTGACACACTGCAGGCAGGGGTGTCCTAGTTTCAGATGAGTCCACTGCATAGAAAAAGCACCTGGAGTGTGTGGACCTGTGTGAATGATTGTGAAAAGCGTGGTGATGGAAGTGTTTTCTGTTAATGATTGTTCCCTGTTTAAGGAGTCTCTGTCAGGATAAAGAGCAGCTCTGGGAAAGGCAGAGTCGAGGTTTATGAAATCAGAATTTGTTTTTAAAAAACTGACTTTTATTTTATTTATTTATTTTTTTTACATATTGGAAATTATGCAGGCAGCAAAGCCCTGCCCACAACACCCTTGTGTTGTTTGTGTCTTGGCCTTAAGTGTTTACTATTTATTGTTATGCTCTTTGTTATTGCTGCAAAACAATTTTCCCCCAGGGACAATAAAGCTGAAACTGAACTACACTGAAACTGAACTGAAATAAGAGGAACAGCACTCTTGGTTCCTTAGCAACCGCCTCCTGGTGCAAAGCCATAGCTGGAAGGAAATGTGCACGTGCACACACACACACACACACACAAACAAAATCATACACGCTCAGACAAAAGTAAACTAAAACATACATTTCACCACTCTCTTTCATGCGTGTTATTGTATTTGGCAAGACACTGACACTACACATATTGCTTCATTGTTATCAGTGTCATTATTTTAGCCATTCATAATAAATACTTCTATAGGGGCACAGAATGAGAGTGTGTGTGTGTGTGTGTGATATGTGTGCACATGCATGTTGGTATGCGAATATTTGTGTGCGCCAGAGAGAAAGAGGAAAACGAGCTCTGCTTGTTTATTTGCTTTTAAATCAAACGCGGGTGTCGGAGCATCAGTGGTTCGCTTTGAGAATCAGTGGAGAAAATGAAGCCGGCTGCTGAGCTAATCTCTAGATGAATATTTCATGTTGCTTTACAAAACATCTGTGTAGGTTAAGAACGTGACGGTGCACTACAGCAATGCTGCAGAGCAAACACACACACACACACACACTCTCCACAGTGCCAACTCCAGTTTCGTTTCACAAGGGAAGGGGAATGATCATTCCCACTCCTGACAGTTTCTCAAATACTTGCCATTCTTTCTCACATTCAGTCAAATCTAATAGTGCAGAAGGTGAAAAGGTCTGTCTGGAAAAGTCCTTCAGCATTCTTTGACAAAAGAAAAACCCAAACACCTATAGCTATTTCCTCCCAAAAAAGAACATCTAATCTCATTCAGCAGCCCTGACACAAAACCGTTTATTGTTCAATACATTGCAGTACATCAGGAACTTCCAATTATTGTCTCCAAATATAACAGACCCTGAAATTACTCAGCAGTTACTGCGTGTAAGTTTATTGTCATGATGGAATGTGTAAACGTATAGTATTTAGCAATATGGCCTTTCCTGTGCTACATATAGCTTCACACTACATAAATGTGTCTTGCCACACCAGGAGTTGACTGGCTCTGTGCTACTTCATAAATAGTGTATCTAACTATTTTGGATGTGATCCAAAACAAATGGCAAAGATCTTTTTTTAAAACTACAACATCACATGCCTACACACGGGTTCTCACATGACAGCTGGGATTTGATTGGAAATATGATGCTGACATTAGTGTGTTTAAAGCCAGCAGATCAGTTTTGCACATTTGCAGAGTGTGTATGTGGTGGTGGGGGGGCGATGAAGCATCAGCGATGCTTCATTTTCTTGGAATCCTACCAAAAGGGGGCAGCCAAGGCAAACTCTAATGTGCCTTACTGGAGGAGGTCCCTTCCTTCTGCATCATTTTAACAGATTCCTCAATGACGAGAAATTCCAAACATGCATACCATTCGCCAGAAGAAAGCGCAGGGAGGGGGAGTTGCTGCCTTAAATCCATATAAGTCAACCCGGTTTCACTGTGTGACCAAACAACCCGTGGTATCAAGGATACAAACCTCTATTTATAGAAGCTCCTAATGCGGCCCTATTTCCACACTGCTGCTCTCTACACATTGCTATGCAGGGCATTGTGGGTTTCCACTACTTCAAAGGAAAGGAACTACCTAACAAGGGACTCCTCTTAAGATAAGGTGTCACCGACCTTGTAGTCCCCTGAGTGGATGTTTAATACGAGTGGGAATAAATTAGGAGCATCAATGGGTTGGCATTTGACCCTAGTACTTACTGTATTACATTAAGCAAATGTGAAAGACTAGATAGCAGAGAACAAACTATAGAAACAAAAACTTTGACAATGATCTGATTCTGCAGAGTTAAATAAGTCGGACTGCTGTGAGTGGGGGTAGGTAGGTTTATGATGTTGTTCCTCTCATACAGTAGTTACACAACGCCCCTCCCTTCTGCTCTTTGCCTGAGCAAACACAGTCAGGTCAGACACCATAGCTAAGCACCAGCCTGCCCCTGTTGTCCACCACAGCACTGCGACACGTGAAGTGGCCGGGTCCGTTTCATCAACAGTAAACTAGACAACAGTCAGCACTGAGGAGTCTCCTTCTGTGCCGCTGGTGCATGCCTACAACTGCAATTAAATACAGCAGCAGGGGGGAGAAGAGGCATCACTAATAGGCAGAGACAGACAAGTGTTGTGCACTGTTTGTTTTTTGTTTTAAAAGGTATCCTCCAGTCGCGCGACTATGTGAAGAATCTGCAGAATGTTTCAGGCCGCAAAGGATTCAACCAGGAGAATGTTAATCCCTTGTTCCGCTGTAACAACACAATAACAACTTCAGGAATTGCTACAGAAACCTGAGAAGAGGAGGCTATTTTAGCAACAAACATGATCATGAAGGTGTAATGTGAAATGAGAAAAGAAGAACACATAGCTGAAAATAAAAAACAACACGCAAGGATGTAATTATCAGTTTCAACTCCCCCCCCCAAAAAAATTATTTTAGCCTGCAGCAGAGTAAAAGAGGCAGCCTGCATCAAATGTATTCCTCTGTGAGACTGGTCTTGCCTTCTTAAAGCCCAGCATGCAAGGGGGGGTTCAGGGTCATGTGACCCAGAGCCCTTCAAACATGGCTTACCCCTCCCCTTTCCCCACAGTCTCTATCGACAAAAAAGCAGCATCAATCCGATAACAAGACGGTAAAATTTCAACACCATCTGCCTGCAGAAGGATCTGTGTGTACTGTATATTGTATATATTTGCATCCACGCGCATGTGTGTATGTTGGATTCTCAAACAAATGCATTACATTATTGAATAAGAACGCCGGTACTCGAGAAGAAGAGGATTGCAGTGCAGCAATGCTCCTCATCTGAATGCGAGTCATGCCCCATTAGAGAGCACGCTGTGTAAGTACTACACTGTTTACATTGGGAGGCTGGTGACACGTTTACTGCCAGCAGGCCACTGCCACCTCTGAAGATCGAAGTATGGTGTGAAAATATAAGGAATTTGGTAAATGGATATAATTTTCATATGTGTCTGTCATAGTCAAACATAAAAATGAAAGATTAAATATTTCATTTTTTATAACACATCAAAGAGCATTATGTTTTCCCTGTGTCACTGAAGATACATAGGAAGTGTGACAGACAGTTGGGAAATCATTCATTATTCACAGTAGGGCTCGAGGGGAGGGACGGCAGGGAGGAGGGTGCCGGGAAAGAGGAAGGTGGGGGTTAAACTGGGAGCTATCTGCTCGACCAATAGCAGGTGGGCAGGGGAGGTTCTAATCCTGATGACTGACATGTTATTGAGTTTGGAGCAGAGATGGTAAACAAGTCCTCTCTTGAGCAGGCATTGGGAGGGGGAGTCGTAACCATAGTGATTAAGCATGGCTTTTCCACAGATTCGGAGAAACCATCAGTTATGGGAAAACCTGAACAGAAGTAGCTTACTCAACAACAAGCCTTAGTGACATTATGCATGTAAACAGTGCTGACCCTTAACT